TTAATATTTTAAAGTATCTTGAACACTTTTAAAGGGTATTTTACAGTCCATCAGTTGATTTGAATGCCTAAACAAATATATTATAGGCTGGGGCCTAAAAGTTTTATATATTTAGCCAACTTTTTTTTAGAGTTTATAGGCGAAACGTGTTGATGTGTGCATAATTTAAATGTGATAAACAAATTGTATATAAAATAAACATATTAATTTTTATATATATAAATATTATTATTTCTTTTGTCTACGCTTTTTTTTAGACGTTATTTATGAATGAATATACGACTTGAGCTTAGGCGTCGCGATTTAAAATCTGTGAAGATTGATGGGCCGAAAGTGTTGAAAAATTTGCATGGAATATTTCCATATTGCTTTAAAGAATATTAAAATTAGTTAAAGAAGTGAAAGAAATAAATGGAGCTATATATAGAATAGAAACAAAGGCAAATTTTTAGATAAAATATGAATACATCATTATATTCCAAAAGCTTTTAGGCACTCCTTTTGATTAAAAGCTTCATTCGAAAACTTTATTTTAATATTAATAACTTATAATTCGTAGAAAATCACCTCTTTTTATTGTTGAAAAGCCGGGAATAGCACATTTGCTATCAAACTCTCAAGTTTCTAAAGAGATTCACATTCTTATTGCCAAATCACGACGGAATATGCGCGGAAACGTTAATAAGCTCACTTTTTCGAACTTACAGCGCCTAACGGTTAATATGAAGCTTTCGTCCTGGCACTGTTAAAGTGCCAATTGCGTTGTCAGCGTTTCGTGCACCGCTTGAAAACTGTAAGACAAGTGAAAAATGTTTTGCTAAAGCTAACACACATTACGCACACTTACAGGCACACACAGACACACAGACACACTCACACACTCGCAGACGCACACTTTATGAACAATTTGGGAGGAAGAACAAAACAGTTGCGCATTAGGCGCCCTGAGAACTGATTCACTTGGCCAGAACAAAGCCAGAGCCAAAAGCAAATGCACAAAATAAAACAACAGCAAAACACAAAATAAAAAAAGAATAAAAGTCAGACAAGAAATGTGCAAATAAAATGCAGACAGGTAGCGCACACAACAACAACAACAACAAAGAGAAGAGGGAGAGAAGTGCGCTTATCAGGCAAAGCAAGCGCCGGATATGAGCGCCACTTAAAAACAGTAAAAACAATGCGAAAGCAACAAGTGTGTAAAAGAGTGCGAGAGAGAGAGAGCGGGAGCGAGAGCGAGAGAGGGTGAGTGGCAGTCAAGAGCGGCGGCAGCGATGTTGTTACTGTGCTTTCCGATAGCAGTAACAAAAGCTGCCGTGTCAGGTAGCTGCCGTCGCCGTCGCCGTCGGCGTTGCCGTTTTACACGGGCCAATTAATGAATGCGACAAAATGGCAAATAATAATGTGAAGGGTATGTAAAAGGCGTAAAGGCAAACACGTAACAAAATATGTGCACACACACAAACACGCATACACATACAAAAGAGCACGCAAGCTCTTACGCTTTGACTGCGGGGGAGCGTAACTTAAAGAGAGAGAGAGAGAGAGAGAGAGAGCACGCGCAAGCATTTAATAAATTTTTTTTCTATGTCTATGCGCGTGCTACTTTGTAACAGCGACAACGTCGACGCTGCCGCCGTCGGCGTTAACGCCGGCAGCAAACAATAATAACGCAGACTAATTGCAAACATGCGTTCGAGCAAAAGCTTTGTCACCGCCAACGCTGACGATGGCGCTGGCGACGGCAACGGCGACGCCGACGCTAACGCAGTTCAATCAGAGCGGCGAGCGCAGCAAGTGTTTTACAATTTACAGTTGCTGACAATTGCTGAATCATTTGTTTATTGCCAAATCAAATGTGTGTTTGTATTAATTACCGTTTTAAGCAGACGTCGCCTGCGCTGCCGCTGTTGCCGTTAGTTTTATGTAGCTGCTGCGCTGCTGCTGTCAAACACTTCAATGAAATTTTATGTGGAGCAATTGATAAAGCCGCACTCACACATACATACGAATGTATGCATAAAAATCTACACATATACACTGACACGCACACACACACACACTCTCACTATTTGTACATATAAATTAAGTACAATAATTTCACTGGCACTTGTTGCTGCTGTTGTTGCTTTTGTATAAGTTTCATTGATCGCCGCGTTTTGATTAATTGTTTAAATTACGTTTATTATTATTGTTTGTTTGCTTATTTTTATTTGTTTTGTATTGTTTTCTTTTTTCTTCTCGTATTTGCCTTCGCCACTCGGCATAAGCTGCGCCCCACAACCATTAACGACCCGCACTCGAGAGCGTCGCAAATATAACTGAACGGCTGCTCGCTGCCGATCGCGTCGGCTATGTCTCCAACTCTGCTGTGTGGAGGCCGTGCCGGGTTCGGCTCGTGTGCCCAATGCACTTCGTGGAGCATTCATGTGTGTCCGTGTCCGTGTCTGTGTGTGTGTGTGTGTGTGTGTGTGCGCGCTGAGTATTTTATATGAATGAATATCGTGGCAATGGGCGTAAGAGCGCCGTTTTAAGAGTGCGTGTGTAAAGTGTAAAGAGCAATTGTACATTTTAATGTAGCAGGTTGTTTGCTCTGTGTAACGATCAACTGTTATTATAATTATTAATTATAATGATTATGCGCTTGGGTTGCGCTCGATCTTAAAAGAATTTTGATTTCTTTTCAATTAAGAGTAAATATAGGTGTGTTGTTTGATACACTGAAATTGATTAAATGTAGTTTCAGCCCAAATTGTGGTAAGTTAGGGTTGGGAGATGGATGGGAGAGTTTACGCATAGAACTCTTTGGAGATTTTCGATGTCCATGTGTGTGTGTGAGCTTACATATGTGTTAATGAGTATGCATAGAGATCCTTTCAAATATATAACATAAGTTCTCTTCTAACCACACACAAAAATCTAGACGATAATCTGCTAATTAATTTTCCGTCTCTTACTCTCCAACAAAAAAACGAAAACAATTAATAAACCAAAACGACGTCGTCTGTCGCTGCCGCTGCTAATATAACCGGGGGGGGCAAATGAAAACTGTCAAACAAAACAAACTACACGATACGCCAATGCTGAAAGTGTGCTGTGATTTCTTGTGCTCTTCATTGTTTTCTTTTGACACGCTTTGCTTTGCATGCAATGCAAGTGGAGCTGAAGTACAAGAAGAGGCGTCAATGACGAAGCTGACGCTGCGCGGCTGCTGCGCTGCTGCTGCGGGGCTGCTGTCAGTTAGAGACGACCTTAAGCTAAACACATCAAAAGGAAGCAGCAGCAAAAAGCGACTGAGAGAGAGAGTGAGAGAGGGAGAGCGAGAGATGGCATCGAATATAAATTAACTGCCATGAGCAAAGTAATGGAACAACAACAACAACAACAACAATAGCGACAAAGCAACAATGAAGGTTGCGCAAAAAGGCAGGCAGAAAGCAAAACGGCAAAACTGCAACTGCAAAACGCCGCTGTCGCAGTCGCAGTCGCAGTCGCAGTCGCGGTCAACGTAGCAGTTGCTTGTGGGCGTCGTTGTTGTTGCTGCTGCTGCTGCTGTATAATCTACGCCTGCGATCGGCCAAGTACAAATGGCTGCAGATGCAACGGCAGCAACAGCAACAACAACAACAATTGCTGCCGAGGTCAAACAGCAATCAATAAAGGTCAGCGACTACCGCCACGGCACGCCTGAGTGCCTGCTGCCAATGCCAATGCAGTGTGATGGGCAGGCAGGCAGCCATTTCAGCTAGTCACCCCCCCCCCCCCCCCCCTGACTGTGCCCATTCATGCGGCCCACGATGAAGATGCTTTATGTTGCAAATTGAAAGCTGGACGTCCAATAATCGAGCCGACTGCTGACCAAGCCGAACTGCAGACCGGACAAGACAACGACGCGCTGCTGCTGCTGCTGCGACTGCGACTGCGGCCAGACACGACTGCGCAGCAGCCTAGACGAATTCAGCTTAACCCTACAATGGACAGCAAAAAATAAAGCAAAGAACTTGGCTGCAAAAAAGCTTTTGTGAGCCCTGGAAATTTGTTAAATCTTATGTATATACTATACTTATCTATGTATAAACAATTTTAAGCTTAAAGCTTTCTTCATTTGTAATTATAATAAATTTTTTTTTAAATATATTTTTCCACGCATTTTTCACGTTTTTATTTCATTTCTTTCCCTCTTTTTTTTTTTGCCTGCAACTTGAGTAAATTTCTGTGCATAAATTTAGGCACAAATCCCGCTGGGGGGTTAAGAAGTTAAATGGCGGATGTCGATGTCTGTGGCATTAGGCGTATGTTGCCAAGCGTTATCCAAGCTAGCCCGGGCCCAGTCCCAGTCCCAGGCCGACTCCTCTGTGCCCCCTTGGCGACGCCCCCGCGGCTGCTGTATTGTGGCAAGAAGTAGCCAAGTAGTCAAGTAGCTGACTTGTTGACTGCGACCCCCCCCCCCTCCTTGCCACGCCCGCCTCGCCGCTAAACTAGCCTGCAAGCTGCCTTCGTCGTCGTCGTCGTCGTCGTCGAATGTATCTTTAGCTCTTTGGCATCCACAAGATATTTTTAATGGGACTCGCTTCCTTTGGCTGCTTCATTTTCTTTTTCTACAGATTTTTGTGAATGAAGTTGTTTTCAGACGAGGCGCACCATTATCGCACTGACATGTCTGGGGGATTGGCTGCGTTTCGTGGCCTCCACCTGCAGCCGCGTCCGTGTCACCTGTTGATGGATTTCGTTGTTTGATTAACATGGTAAATGGGCGAAACGCATTTGATATATTGACTGTGGCTGCTCGGGGATTTGCATTTAAGTGACTTTGTCTGGCCGCCTAACTAGCTGCCAGGTAGTTGCAGCTGCCTCCTAATCCCCTAAATGGCATCATTAGAAATCGCTTAACGCCCGCACAGCTCGGCTGTGTCTCAGTCTCTACCTGCCGTTCACGTATATAAGCCCAGGCGACCGACCATTTGGACAGACACTCGCTGCGTCACACTCAACCCGTCAAGATGTCCAGCTTCAGATCCGTTGCTGTGCTGCTGCAGCTGCTGTGCCTCGCCAGCCTTGTGCTCGGCCGACCCAGCGATAGCCCCGCCCTCAACGAGGTGAACTACCAGGAAGCTGCCAACGAGGACTACATGAATAATGATATGATGCAGCAAATCTCGGCCATGCCCTCGCCTGTCGTCGGAGGCGCCTTCTACAAGCAGCGACGCGCCTTCTATAATCCTGGCCAGCTGTGGCGCAGCTCGTTCCTGCGACGCTTCTACCAGATGCCCGGGTCCAACGTCTATCCGGAGCTGGCCATATCGCCCGGCGGCACCAACTACTACAGCAACGAGGTGCTGCCCATGCCCATGTCCACCTACGAGATCATCGAGCCGGAGACCATGTTTTAGCCGCAGTTCAGAGTTCAGAGCTCGAGCTTTGGCCTCTAACACTTAAGTTGTAAAACTATCAGGAATGTGACATAGCTTTAGGTTATCTTTTCTTTTTTTTTTTTATATGAAATATAAATAAAATTCTTAAAATATAATATTCAGCTGGTTTTCTTCTTAGCTTATCTAATCACATTTTCATTAAACGCAAAAGCCGAAAACTGAATACCCTTGAAAACAGAATAATTTGCCTTAAAAGATTCTACTTTTTCACGGATCTTACCTATTTAGCAGCTATATGACATTGTTGTCGTAAAAAAGTATAAATAGCCTTGGACCCAATAATTGGCTTTGTCTAAGCCATATTTGGTAGATGCCAATTTTGGGTTAGGCTCAAATCTCGCCCACTTCTTGAATATGAAAATATTGAGAATTTGCGATATTTTCAGTACAAAGGGCTTTTAGCTTAAGAAATGGAGAAATCAAGCTTTAAATCAGTTTTGATTTGAGTGCAAACAAAACTAACTTTAAGATTCTTTCTAGAGACAAGGCTTTGTTTCGAAGCGTAAACCGAACCAGCGACATTTTATTTTCTGGTTCGCAGCACAAAGATAAAAACTTTAACATTCTTCACGAAGTAAATTTACATATTAGACATTTAAATTTGTTTTTAATGTAATTAGTTTGAGTGAAAGTTAGGTTAGGTTAGAAAGTGAGGTTAGGTTGGAAAGTGAGGTTAGGTTGGCGTGTTGTCTGACCAGGGTCAAAGAAATGCAACTAAACCAGCTGTAAGCCATAATCTACTTGGCGCCTGTTGCCAACACAAGCAAATCCCATAATACCCACTGTCTAAAACCATTTCCAACTTAACACACACACACACACACACACACACGGAGGCGGAGCAAATGCACACGCACATAATTCATTCGGTTTAATCAAAGAGGAAGGCCTTTGCCCACCTACCGCATTATGTTGCAACAACAATCAACACTCAAATCAACAACAATCTGTACAAACTACAACAACATAATCTCAAACTCCCTGCAACGCCAGCAACAACAACAGCAACAACAACAACAGCAGCAGCAGCAAAACAGAAGCCAAAGAGCAGTCGCAAAATGTGTGTACATTGTGTGTGTACACATCCCCAAGGAATTTTCATGCCGCAGGACAAATCCTAAAGCAAGGCAACAGCAACAGGCAGCAACAGCAACATGCAGCAGCAACTTGCAACAGCAGCAACAAGTGTTCCAAATCAAAACGGAAGCCAAGAGCCGGGGGCAGAGGCGGTGGCAGTGGCAGCCAGGAGTTCGGCCTGATTCCACATATGTACATGGGTTTTTGGTACGACATGGCAAAAGCATTTGGAAAATGTAATTTACAACGCGCAACAGCAACATTCGCCGCAGCAGCAACAGCAGCAGCAGCAACTTGGCAACTGGTCAACTTGGAGAACCGTTTCAGCTCACCTGCCAGCGATCTCACACTGTCAGTTTGTTGTGCGCAAAAAGCCATCAAGAGTGTTTGCCCGGCAGCCCAAGTTCTCAGATGATGTTGCTGCCTTGATTTTAATTTTAACCTTTTTGCTGCCGTTGCTGCTGCTGCTGCGACTGTTGCTGCTTCTGTGCAAGAGTTTTTCCTTTTTTAATTTGCTGCTCCGCTTCATAGAGCATTTTTCATTAAATTCCTGAATTAAGGCATTCTTGCGACCCGTACGACTTGTTGTTGCTTCTGTTGCTGCTGTTGCTGCTGCTGCTGCTGTTGTTCATGTTCTGAAATAAGAGCAACATTGCTGGCAATGTCCAGAGCGACGACATGGTGACGACGACCGCGAAGACGACGCCGCCAAAGTCTACAACCACCAACTACTAACAACAACAGGCAACAACAACAACTACCGGTTAGCTGGCAATCGCTGTTGGCCCCGCCTTGACCACCTCAGGTGTCCCGCAGCTGCTGGAATTTCATATTTCCTACTGCTGCTGCTGCTGGTGCCCTTTTGTGGCGACTCGTGGGCAACAACAATCTTTGAACCTGCACCCAAAAAAAAAAAAAGAAAAAATAATAATCGCAGTGTCAAGTTTTCGATTACCAGCAATATTTGATTTGAAAATCGCAGAGAAGGGTGCGGTTAGCTGCAGCGGCAACATTTGTAGAAAGTCGTCGCTGCAGCAGCAACAAAAAAAAAAAAAACACAAAGCAAATGCAAGCCATAATAGGAATGTGATTGGAGCTTGCTGGAGATCGATTAAATAGCTAAGATCGATAACAGGCAAGTAATCAAATTAGTTCCGCTTAGAAAATAAAAATTGCCCTAGTAGTTGCAAAAGTTCGACTGAATTACCATAAATCGACAATAATAAATAACAAAGCAAATATAATCGATTATTATCTATCATGTGCTTTAAATTTTGATCGAACTGTCAAAAATCGATAACAGCTCATGCAATTAATATTAATAATATGCCTTAAATTCTCTTTAAATAAATAAATAAATCGATAGCAGTTTTCACAAATAAGTATAAGTAAAATAACGCGTTGGGTCGATAAACGATTCAGGCAAAATCGATAACAGCTATCGATAACAGGTCTCGATAACATTTACAATTACCGCTGTTGTTGTTTTCTTGTAAAGCAAAAAGTCTTCTATGATAAAACAATTCTATATTATACATAACTATATATACATGTCTATGCCTTTGTTCTCACTCCAAAGTGTGGAAAATTGGTGAAATTGGCAAAGCGAAACCTTTCTTTTTTTCAACTTATAGGCAAAATGTGCTCCATTTGAGCTTATTTAATTAGCAAATCTATAGTCCACAAGTGCTTAGCTATACCTGAGCATATTTGGGGCTGAACTGTGCATAGTTTGGTTAAGTTAGTAAAACTAACTAACTTCTATAGGCCGAGACAATACTTTCAAGTGCACAACAAACTTTCCACCACCGGGCAATGCGATCAGCAATCAGCTGCAGCCGAATGCCAGCGCCAGTGCCCACATGAATTCAGAGCATTTTTCTAACTTCCTTTTGGCCAATAGAACGCGAAAGCAGCGCATAAAGTGGTTAAGGCAGCTGCTGAGAGGGCAGGAGAGGGAAGAGGGGTGTGGAGATGTTGCTGGCGAGGAGCTGGCATCGAACGGTGGCGACCCAAAGCAATGCGCGCAAAAATGGGCGCAAGATCAGCCAAGTCAGAGGCAGGCCACATGCAACGGGCGGTGGCTGCCACAGACGCTGCGGTTGCATAGTTGACCAGATCAGAGCCAAGAGGCCAGGCCAACCAGCCAGGCAGGCAGGCAGGCAGGCAGCCAGCCAGCCAGGTAACTTGTAGATACAGATATGCGCGTCGTGTTTGCCAAGTCGACTGCGCAGTCGCAGATACACTTTAGGGGCCATGACATGACTCGCATACGAATTATTATAAACGATCTGGCGCAAAAACTAACAAGCGATGCGCGGTACAACCCCCCCAACCCCTGCCTTCCCCTAGCGTGCTCCCTTTCCCAACTCGCTGAGGTGACCAGGCAAACGAGCGCGCGTCGCTTTGGAGCCCGGCTAAAAGTTATGGTGGCCAATTGCAAAGTTAATGGAGTTTGGCTACTCCAGCAGCGACGAGGTGTGCAGCGGATGCGGCTACCGGAGCTGAGCTCAACTGAACTGAACCTGCGACTTGGAAGCTGGCTGGAGCTGGTCGCTGGTCGCTGGCCAAGATTGAACTTAATTTTGCGCAAATGCAATTTATAGAAAATTGTTGCCACTTGTTTTTACGTTGATGGCACTTGAGTCGAGAGCAAATGCAGCAGGCGAACGGGGAGGGGGGAGACGGAGGGTGGCTGGGCCAGATAATAAATGCAGGTAGCTCTCTGCCTGCAGCGCAGTCCATTATTTAAATTTTTGCAAAATTAACAATTAAAATGTCTAATGGTAAAATGCGTTGTGGCATCATAAAAATCCAGACAGGGTCGAGTCGCGGTTTCTTGGAACTGTGCAACGTCTGCTCCTGCTGCTGCTGCTGCTGCTGATGAGCTGCAGTTGCTCCCTGCTTGCCCGGCTGAGCATCATCAGAAGCAACTGATGATAGTGGCAATTATTAGACATAGTCGAGTGCGCAGGAAATGGAAATTGGCCAATGGATTAGCGTATTTTATAGACATGATACGCTGCCGAAAAGTCCAGAGCTCATAAACTGTGCACACATTTTTTGCAAACAAAGCGCATCTAATCCCGGCTCATTGAGCTACCTGCTCCTTAAGCCACCTCCGTACCCGGCTCAGGCTATAAAAGCCGGCACTCCTATATGCAGGTTAGGCAGTCCATTCCGTGAGGCATCGCATTTGGCAACATGCTCGTCGTACGGTATCTAATTGCGTTCGTGTTCTCCATCTTTATGATGGCCACCTCGTTGCGCATCGCGGAGCGTTTGAGCCGTAATGGCGACTACAAGATCTCAACACCTGATCGCCTGGTGCTGCAAATGCAGCGACGCGGCGACAAAGTAAAGTTGCGCCAACAGTTGCAGCGACGACGCCTGGGCTGGTGAGAGCCAAAGACCAGAAGTTGCCTTCCCAAAACCCGAGCAGAGATCTACAGTGGAAAGCCCAGCTTAGCTATAACTATAAATTGTTCCGAACTAAAGAAAACTCTAGGAGCATATTTGGAGCCCTCTTTGAGCTCTGTTAAAGACGACGCCCGAGCAGGGATCCCCAGCGATAAACTCAGCTTAACTATAAGTATTATATTACTTAGTAGTATAATATAAATCATATTATTGCATAGTCAATATAGGCTTTAAGCTAAGCAGAATACTCTTGGAGGACTTGGGATCTTCACACTTAAACTCAGCCTAACTATAAGTCGTAGCCTTATAAGATCAATATAGTCTCTAAACTAATCGAACTCTTGCAGAATGCAAGCAATACGGTATTTGAAATTCCATTCGAGGAGATCTAAAGACGACGCCCGAGCAGGGATTCACTGTGAACTACTTTTGATATTTAGATATTAGTTATGCATATTACTTTTAAATAAACTCTGAGTTTTCACTAACTGCTTTACTAATTAAAAGTATATAAAGTCCGAACAGGGATCAGTCGGGTATCATATTCAGCAAGGGCTCAACTGTTGGAGAAGTGTCTGGAAACTCACCCCAAATCCAAGTCCAGAATATGGGAGTCCAGGATTTTATGGCCGGGGTTTTAGGTTGATCACTTCTCAAGCACTTCATAAAGATTAGTTAAATCGAGAATATTCCAAAACTCAAGATTGAAAGAAAGTGCAACGAATCATTGCATATTCAAAATTCCTTATCAATAAATGCTGTAAGCTCTACAAATCAAAGTTCAAGCAAGGATTCACTGTGAGCTATGTTCAAAAATAAACATCAGAAAAAACGGACCTCAATACATTCAAAACTCAACTCGAAGACTGTGTTCCATTTCCAACTCTGATCGAACTTGCCCAGCAAATTTTGAAGTTGGCAAAATTGTGGAATAAGCTTACAAAAAATGCATTTAAATTGTGCATTTCTTTTAAATATATATTTATATAACTTTATTAATAGTTTAATGTGTTAATATTTTACATAGATAGTTATATAAGTGTGTGACTCTATTCATTTATCCTTTCGGCTTCAATATATGGTATATATATTTATTATACAAAAGCTTGAAACACTTAATTTACAAAAGGAAATTTCAACGTTACATAAATATTGTTAATACACGTTTGTTAATTTATGCACATATACATATATATATTATTTTTTTTTTTAGTATATATTGTATATTATTTTACCACACCATATGCAAGCAAAGGTTTCTTTAAAGGATCGCAATAAAAACGAAAACCATGTGCAAAAACATAAACCTCATTTGTGTGCAAAGTTGATTAATATAAGTATTAAATAGTATATATTTATGTTGTTGTTGCTGTTTAAGAATTTTGAATAGACATTTATATAGAAGCTTGAGTCTTAACTTTAGTTAATCGCACTAAATATTGGCATTGGAATTAGGCTAGTAATATTTCATGTTTGAAATGTTAATTTCTCAAAAGGGCTGTTATTTATTTTTCTGTTTAAGTTAGTTGGTTTGTGCTGTTTGTGATGGTTCTCCACAAAAACTTACTTCCTGAAGCACGAGATGGGATTGAAGTAGCACTGTCTGTATCTCACCTGGCGCTTGCTCTCGGGCGAGCGATACAGCTCGTTCATGTTGCCGTAGGTGGGAGTGCGTAGATATGCGCTGTAACTGGTTTGTGTTCCCGAAGGATATTCAATATAATACAGCATTATAATAGCCGGCTACGTTAGACTTACGTGGGCCTGTACTGTGCGAACAGCATCTGCAGGCGATCCATGGGTATATTGGGATATATGGCCTGGGCGGGCATCTCGTAGCCGGCGTAGGCGGCGCGCACATCCTCAACATCCGGTGTGTCCAGTGCATCCGTATCCTGCAATTTATATATAAAGATATATATCTTTTAGTTTCGACTCGAGATTTGAGTGCCGCTTGGATACTTACAGCGCCCGCCTCGGCTGTGGAGGGGCGCGCCTCGTTCAGGGCAAAGAACATGGTCAGCAACAGGCCGTAGCACAGGAGAATTTGCACAAACTTCATCATTTTGTTCGTTTTCTTGAGCTAAAACCTGTAAGCGAAATCATTTTTTTTAAATATTAACTATCAAACTACTTTGCGCTTAATTTAATTTATTTATTAAGTTTAAATCAAAAATAAGAATATGTAGACTTCTTTTTAGAAAAGTTTTAAAATACATCTATTAATTATTTAATCGAAAAAAAATATTTAATATAATTACTTATTAACAATGAACTCTGGTTTCAACGCCCTTTCCATTTATTAAATATTTTAATAATAATATTTAAATTAATAATAAATAATAATGTTAACTGATGTATTCAGTTTGTATATTTATTGGGCAATCCAGAGCTAGATGTAATTTTAGTTTATGCATAAAAACGATTCCCTACAATAGCACAGTCCGTCGGGATAATAGCTCATGACAAGGCAACTGAAGTGGACACGGAAACTGAACACTTGCTGGCACAAACGTGACCCGCATGCTTGTGTAAGCGCGGGGAGGAGGGGCGGCAATGGGGCATAAGTGCATTTCCGCAATTAAAACCGGATATGAACTCGAATGCCCAGCACAGTAGAGACCCTTGCCACCTGCCGCCGGGCAACGTGCAACGTGCAACGTGCAACAAAATGGTCGCCAGACGAAAATGTTGTTGCCAACTTTAATTGAATTTGCTTTGAACGTGATTCAAGATGCGTTTCGCAAAGGCCTTGAAATGGTTTTCAGTTTGGCCAATTTGTTCTATTTTAGCTTGGGCCTTACCCCTTTGTGTTCGTTTACGCATTCGACTTGATTTGATTTATGATCAACAGCTGTGCAACATGTGCGACAATTGATTAAATTGATTGAACCTTTGTTGCGGCAACAATTAATGCCACGCATCGAAGCACTTACTTTGGGGCTTAAAGAAAAACAATTTTAAATTGCATTTAAACTAATTGGATATAAATAAAAGTTCATTAATAAATTTCTATGCCGAGCAGTTTTAACTACCCGCTAAATGAGAGCACGTTTTATCTAGGGTATTTGCCCAGACTTTGTCTGGCAACAATTGTTAATAGGCCTTATTCAAATATTCTGCCGCGGACAGGTCGAGTTTGATAAAAATCAGTAAATATTTAGTTTTATACTCTGTTAGCCAGTGAAAGAGGGGTATATTTGTTTTGAATTGGCGTGTACACTACAAGTTGAGCATATTAATTGCTTTATTTATATATATAGAAAAAAGTTGACCTGAATAGGAGAATATACATTTTAGATGTGAACATCCACTCAGCTCCTGATCGGGAATATATTTATGCTATATTTATTTATTAAACCATTTTAATGTATATTAATTATGTTGTTCCTTCCGATAATCCCAAATCCTTGATACCCTTTTAAACGGTTCAGAGTACACGGATAATATGCTATTTGATTAATCCCCTGGCAAGCTACCACATTATGTATTAACAACTATTGATTGGCCATCAACTTGGCCCTATAAATAGTTTTGGCCACATAGTTTATGGCATTTGGTGTTCGAATGTTGGCCAGGCCTCGTCAGGTGCGACGTTGGCTCTACGAGCTGTACGCCTTTTATGCGATATTCATCGGAGTCACGAGCTATCGCTATGACTTTGAGCTGCGGCAAGGCAGGAGCACGAGATGGACTCGGTTTGTGGCCACTTTGGCCAATCTGATAGTAGTGGCCGTCACGCTTGTGGATTTGCTTGGCGTCTGGTTCGTAATCCTCGACGTGAACGTTGTTACGGAGCAAACGATGCGTCTGGATGCGACCGTGAACGACATGATTTGCCTGGTGCGCGTGCTGCAGCGTCTGCCGCAGGATCGGGCCTGCAATCAGATTGTGCTGGAGTTGCGACGCTTGCGGCGCATTCATCAATATCATGCGACTGGACAGGATTCGCAGTTGGAGCATTGGCTGGAACACATTTATCTGGCCAAGAATTGCATTATGTGGGCGGTGGCCAGCTTCCTTCTGGCCTTCATGCTGCTCGTCTACCAGTTTATGGGCGTGCCGCCAACTAATGTGTACTTGGATCGGCTGCTGCTCATCCTAAATGTTCTGGCCATGGATGGTCAGGATGTGGCCATGCATATGCATTTCCTGCTCAGCTGGCACATCTGCCGGCTATACGTGCGTCTCAACAGACGCCTCGGTCAGCTGCTCCGCGGCGATTCCCCCCCTGTGGACACACTGGAGCTGCTTCAACTGCGCTGGCAGCACGCACGGCTGTCTGACCTCATGCAGCGGCTCACTTCCGCCTACAAGTTGACCATGTTGAGCAATCGCCTCTGCCTGGTCGTCACGGCCGCCGCCCTCGGCTACTATATAAGCATATTTCGAGCCCAACCAATTATCTATCAAATAGTTGGCTTCGGCTTTTTCGCCCTGCTTGCCCTGGATAGTTACATACTTGATCTGATCACCGACTGGACGGTGCATTGCCATCGCGAGAGCTCCTGGCTGCTCCGCCAACATCAGCAGCTACCCTGTGCTGAAGGGCAGCTCTCCAGAGCGGTAACTACCCGTGCTGTTGGCATACACTCTAGTATTTACACTTCTTTTCTTTCAGTGTGATTTGTTTACCCTGCAAATAGCCTGTTTTCCGCTGCAGCTCAAACCCTGCGGCCTCTTAGAGTGCGGCAGGGCGACTTGGCTGAGCAACGTGGCCTGCATTATCGTCTGGATGGTTGTTCTATTACAATATCGCATCGTATCCGAATAAAAATTGCAAGAAATCGAATAAATTGTGGGACATACAACAAATATCTGCGAGTTTTTCTTTGAGAGTAGCATAAGAAATCAAAGGGAAGCATTTGCCTTAAAATATTGGAACTGGATAAACTTTAATAAATCCCATTTCTAGTTATATAAGGTATTGCTAGCCTTTGCTAAAGAATCGCTCGGCAACAACAATGTCTATAAAATAATTGAAGACCTTCTTAATGATTCGTTGATATTTCAATATCTTAACCTTTATTAGATTTTCCCGCACCTGCTTAATGTTTTGCTATCGAATGCTATGCGATATTGCAAAAGCACAACCATCCAGGCGATAATGCAGGCCACGTTGCTCAGCCAAGTCGCCCTGCCGCACTCTAAGAGGCCGCAGGGTTTAATCTTAAGTGGAAAACAGGCAACTTGCAGCGCAAAAATGTCACACTGAAAAAAAATATAGAGTCAATATTATAGACTGTGTAAGCAGTTCCATTAGCTACCGCTCTGGAGAGCTGTCTGTCAGCGCGGGGTAGCTGCTGATGTTGGCGGAGCAGCCAGGAGCTCTCCCGGTGGCAATGCACCGTCCAGTCGGTGATCAGATCAAGTATGTAACTATCCAGGGCAAGCAGGGCGAAAAGGCCGAAGCCAACTATTTGATAGATAATTGGTTGGGCTCGAAATATGCTTATATAGTAGCCGAGGGCGGCGGCCGTGACGACCAGGCAAAGGCGATTGCTCAACATGGTTAACTTGTAGGCGGAAGTGAGCCGCTGCATCAGCGCCGACAGCTGTGCGTGCTGCCAGCGCAGGTGATGCAGTTCCAGTGTGTCCACAGGGGGGGAATTGCCGCGGAGCAGCTGACCGAGGCGTCTATTGAGACGCACGTATAGCCGGCAGATGCGCCAGTTGAGCAGGAAATGCATATGCATGGCCACATCCTGACCATCCATGGCCAGAACATTTAGGATGAGCAGCAGCCGCTCCAAGTACACATTAGTTGGCGGCACGCCCATAAACTGGTAGACGAGCAGCATGAAGGCCAGAAGGAAGCTGGCCACCGCCCACATAACGAAATTCTTGGCCAGATAAATGTGTTCCAGCCAATGCTCCAACTGCGAATCCTGTCCAGTCGCATGATATTGATGAATGCGCCGCAAGCGTCGCAACTCCAGCACAATCTGATTGCAGGCCCGATCCTGCGGCAGACGCTGCAGCACGCGCACCAGGCAAATCATGTCGTTCACGGTCGCATCCAGACGCATCGTTTGCTCCGTAACAACGTTCACGTCGAGGATTACGAACCAGACGCCAAGCAAATCCACAAGTGTGACGGCCACTACTATCAGATTGGCCAAAGTGGCCACAATCCGAGTCCATCTCGTGCTCCTGCCTTGCCGCAGCTCAAAGTCATAGCGATAGCTCGTGACTCCGATGAATATCGCATAAAAGGCGTACAGCTCGTAGAGCCAACGTCGCACCTGACGAGGCCTGGCCAACATTCGAACACCAAATGCCATAAACTATGTGGCCAAAACTATTTATAGGGCCAAGTTAAAGGCCAGCCAATAGTTGGGAATATATGATGGATTGTACTGCGATGCGCCAGACCAGCGGATTAATCAATATCCATATAATTTGTCCCTAATTAGTAGTTACATGTTATCAGATAGCTGACATGTTAAGTTATTAAATAGGAATTTTATAAGCATTCGGAGTGGAGCTCACATAGTATTTATAATGAATGTTCTAGTCTGGGCGACACCCTGAAAACTCACACAAACAGGTTCTCGGAAACTCGGTTACTTACAGTGCGATCCTAAAGAAATTTTCAGAGTCCAAATATGACCAATAAATATTTGTATATACAAGAAAGCAAGGCTTTAGCTTCGAGAATGAAAACTGTTTTCAAATCTTAAGCAAATGGAGGAAATGAAAATGGACTAACGAAAAAATATGCTAAGCCTTAGACTTTAGACCTAAGAGTAGAATAAGTTGCATTGTGAATAATCATAAAAATTTGATCAAAGTTGTTTCCATAATGAAATAAAAATAAAAAAAAAAAAACAAACAAGGTAATAAAAAGTAAGAAAAGTATGTTTTGCTTAGAAATATTTTAGGATTAAACTGCCTTGAGCTTATGAAAGAGTATTCAACAATTTAATTGAAGAGCTTATGAAAGCAAACCAATTTAGATAACCAGCTAATCTGCATAACTAATTGCAAATTATGCAAGTCAATCAAGTACGCAGAGTCAAATTCTCAGAAGGGGCAAACAACATTTATTATGCAAGCGACAGCGCGTGCATTAAAATACATGATGCAAGCAATTTCGTTGAGTAAGTTGATCAAAGGACATTCTCGGACAGGATAACGGGCAGAGGACACTAATTACACTCGAGACGAATCGAAACGAATCGCAACATAAATCAAAAACATGACCAGCACTCGCCCAGGTAAATCAAAGTCAGCCAGGACATAACCAAAGGTAAACACATTCACGCTTGTGTAGATACCAAATTTTGCGGTCTCTCTGATTTAAGTGCTCCTTCGACGCGCCCACATGTCACCCATCAGCCGGCTAATTACGGCCGCCCTAATGACATCACGGGGCGTGGCCAGGTAGAAAGACACCAAAAATGCGGCATGAATATGTGAGCAGCAGCTCATAAGCCCAGTGTCTAGCCTCAGGTGCGGCTCCTGCTCATGCAACAAGTATGCGGCACAGCGTGCGTAGGGGAGAGGGGGTCGGAGTCGGGGTACAGAATCTGCCACAGTCTCAAATAAACAAATTCGAAACCGAAACTCAATGAGGCAAGTCGTAAATGTTAATGACTTCGTGCCACACAATCCAAGCACCTAGCTGCAGTTCACAAAATGTTGCGCCAGCCGCCTCCTGTGGCAGCTGCCACAGCTAAGCAGCAAAATTATCTCTTCGTTTTCGTTTTCATTTTCATTTTAATTTTTTACTTTATGGCCTCTGCATTTTGTACGCCGCCATTTTGCGGCTGCATGTTGCTGTGGCAAGGATGCGCCGGGATTTGTTTGTTTTATGTGAATACTCAAATTGCAGCATTTTGCCTGGTCGCAAAAAAAAAAAAGCTCTAAAGAATGTTGGATAATTGAGGGAACAACTTTAAGAGCAGCAGAAAATAAAAATCTTTATCTAGAATTGAACTTAGCTAAAGATTAAAATTAAAATCATAGTTGGATAACAATTTATAGCTAAAAGATCATTTTTTTGTTATTATTTTTGATTTTCTTAAATATTTGTTAATTCTTAGAATATTCCCAGACTCACAAGATATTTTTTTTATGATTTTCTATATCAAAGAATTCAATGTGAGAATAATTCCTAAAAATTACATTAGCAAGCCTTAAACCATAATCTGGCATATTTATCAGTATTATTTTTTTAAATATAAAAATTTTCTAAATTTAATTATTTTTTACTCTTCCCATAAGAGCCAAACGCGCTCCGAAGCCAATGTATATTGTATTTTCTATGATATTCTTAAATAATGCAGATATTTCCCAAAGAATTGCCTCTCAGTTTTTTATGTTAGCGAAATATTTAAAAAAAAGTAGAACTTTCAATTTTATATATATGCATATAAACTGAAAACCTATTCAGATTTCGCATGAACTCTAACAATTGCGTTTAATAGAAATGTTTTAACTATTTACCTAGACCCTATCTATGGGTCTAGCTTTTCAAGCTTTTAAGCCTGCCATAAAATGCCAGCCCAAAGCCGGGCACAAATGTTTGACATGCAAGGCAACCGGAGCTCTCCGCTAATACCAGAGGCATAGATAATTATAATGCCATATATTGGTATTGTATCTGTAAATGGGACACAGGCCAGCAACAAGTCGTAAAATGTTTGTTAGATAGAACTCCAACTAGACTGGCAATAAATATAGCTAATAACATGCCGAGGGCAATGTGGTGTAAGGGGGGGAGTTGTGGGGCATTGGCAAACAGCATACGGTAGTCAGCGAAAACTGGGAGATCAAATGGAATAATACAGCAACAAGAAGAGTCGAGCGAGTAGAGGGCGGCGGAGGAGAGAGAGTGCGGCAAGGGGTAGCCAACATAATCAGGACACTTTTATTGCGGCTGATAAATAAAGCGGCCAATGTTAATTGGAAATTTAATATAGGCGTACAGAGAGAGAGAGGGAGAGAGAGTGTGAGAGAGAGAGAGAGAGAGAGAGAAAGGAAGAGAGTGTGTGGGCGGAACTGCAATCTTTGATAAATTGCAATTTTGCATAACTCGTTCGCACTCCGCTTTTCTATCTCTCGCTTTGTCTCACTCGCTCCCCCTCTCTCTCTCTCTTTCTCGCTCTCTCTCGCTCACACTAGCTACTGCGGATTAGCCAGAGATTACGCATAGCTCTTTGACAACGGCTGGGAAACCCAGCAAGCGGCCTAGTTTTCCATGTTCTGTTCTTACAGTTTTTCGCAGCTTTGCCGCCGCTTTAAAATTGGCCAAATATTTTCCATGTTGATTTCGGGCCGTTTTCTTTGGGCATTTTGTGATTTATTTGGTCATGCGATACGTTATTTTGTTGACAAATGAAAATTATGAGAACGCTTTCTCGTCGCGCCTCGTGACATGTTTCAACTCACTCCAATTTTTGGATTTGCTTGTAATTTTGGCGCTGTAAATGAATATTTTCTTGCTGCTGCTCGGCCGTAGCCTACTTTTTGGGGCGCTTGCTGTGGACGTCCATTTGATACTTTTACCTCAACTCAAGGGCTATCGAATGTCTGTGCTAGTTGCGGCTTTTGCGGCTTTTGCTCTTAAATCCTTTGATAGCGCCGATATTAAATGCGACATCAAAGACAAAAACGAGCCAAATGCAGCACTCAATTTAAATGTGGTTTATCGAAAGATTTGTGCGAATTGACTTTGAGAGCATTTGGGGTTAACAAGAATTTCTCATGAAAACTCAAACGTTCGACTAGATTAAATATCAAGCAATATATTTCAATTTCTTAACAAGCAAAAGACCAAATTGTGATTATTTTCTGTTCCACTCCAAACACTCTTTGTTTATTTTATGCATTTACTTCATTTGCAAATATGACTTAAAAAAAGAGAAATTACGCCTTCAACTTTGCAAACATGACTTCAGGAAATAATTTAACTCATTTCCATTTGAATATGTTTATATACCTAAATTTCTTTTAAGCAAAATGAAAACATTTATAAATAAAATAAGGAATATTTCTTTAAAATATTTTCCTATTTTTGTAATAATAACCTATTATTTATTAAAATGTTTTATATTCTATATAAGGACTGCTCACATTTGTATAATATATCTTTATATATTAACAACTCTGGTTGCAATGCTTGTCAATACTTTCTAATCAATTTGGGCTTTCATCTAATTTTGAGTGCCCTTAGGGCTTTGCTGCCCCGCCTAGCCAATATTGTGGCTGGCAGAAAGTAATAAATATTAAATGCAATTTGATTGCCGTTTTGTTTTCAAATCAAAACAAACATGCCAAACATGCCAAACATGCTGCATGGAAAACTGGAAAAACTATGCAGCATTCGGCGAATATTGAGTTTTCCTGCGGCATTTGCATTTGTCGCAAATGATGCGAACTTTGCTGTTACACAGCTTCCCAAATGATTCGCATAATGTTCCATGTCAAAGGCCCACGCAACAGGCAGCTATTGTCGGGTTAGGCTTTTGCTCCGACTGTCGTCAGGGGGCTTTGAGTAAACCCAAAAGTACATGTTTTTTTTTGTGTTCCATTTTGAAGCATGAATTTCAATTTGGGCAAAAGGTGAAGCGTTCGTTGCCAAAGCAGATGATTAATTGGCCGCATTTGTCAACCTGTGCGAAAAGCAGTTATGAAAAACACATTTCCCAGGCACATTAATGTCCAAATGTCAATCTATTTGACGGGCCATTTCTTGGAAAATTCGTCAGATTCATTATTGAATAATAAATGAAGCGAAATCAGCTAAGCGCTTGGCTTAAGGTAATATTTTTAAATCAGTTTTGTTGAATTAATAATTGAACATTTTAAAACTCAAATAAAGCTGTAAAATATTAATAATTGTAAGAAATGAAATAAATAAAATTACAAGAAATCAGAGCATAGAAAATGTGCAACATAAAATGACAAAAATTTCGAGCACAATAAATAAAAGAAATAAAATAAAAATATATTTTATAAAATAAATAAAATGACTGACTCGAAAGTAAAACTAATTTTCTGTTCTCGAAAAAAAACATTTCAAAAATGCAACACAATTAATTATTTAAAGTTGAAATTATATTTCAATTACATAATTTTTAAAAATCAAAATTAAATAAAGGTAAAAATTTTCAATTATAAACGATCTTCCAAGTTCTAGAAACATTAAGCCATAAGTATATCAAATATTCCCAATGTCAGAGAAATTTCACGAAAAATGTATTAACTTCACTTACTATTTAAATATTTTTAAATTTTCGATATACGTTGCTTCGCTCTTATAAGATTTCAACTATTTGAATGTATTTTCTCTCAACGAAAACCTTCAACAAATATATCACACTTTATGCCTGATCAATAAATCAATTAGTGCCCGAATCGAGCGCTTCACACGATTAAAACCAAACCAAACATTAAATGAAATTGGGCAAATACAATAAATACGAAAACTTACCCAGAGGAGTACGAGGATAATGTTCTAGCTAAACAAATTGAGACGGCGGCGAAATTTGAGCGCGAAAACGATTTTTTTTGGAACGGAATTGTCTAATTTATGGAACTGCAAACAGAAATGAAATGCAATATTGTTGAGGAAACTGCGCTGGAAGATCCGTTTCGGGTTCGATGCTGTCGCCGCCTGTTGACTGTGAACTCGATGTGAACGCCAAGAAGTGAAATTGTTAACTCGATGTTGGCCATAGACGACGCTCGGCTTTATATACAAAATAGCAAACGAAGGCGGCGGCAGCGACGGCAGCGGAGACGGCGACAGCGACAGCGACGCCAGCAGCAGGAAGCAGGAACGGTGTTAGGCTAGGCGCAGAAGTGTGGCCCATTGGTATGGTAAAGGTGGGGTCAGCGGCAGCGGCAGCGGCAGGGGCAGGGGCAGGAGCTAAAGTTGGCTTAGGCGTGTGACTACATGATGTTGCCGCCCAGCTGCAACAATTGTTGTTGTTGTTGTTGTTGTTGTTGTTGTTGTTGTCGTGTATCGTTGCCAACGCTGCGTATGAGCAACGTGCCAGATTATTCACCACACGCGCGCACAGCTTGATAACCATGCGTGTGTGGTGAGTATAAGAAACTCACCTGTTGATTGGCAAAACTTGTTGCATACTTGTCGGCGCTGCCTTCGGTGACGTCATGCGGCCAGCACTTTGATTTACGAGCAGCCGCTCTACGTGTGTGCCTGCCGATAAGCAAAACGAACTCGATTATTATTTTATTTCTGTTTTCTGTTTTTTGTTTTCTCTTGTTTTTTTTTTCGCAGCACTTTTTCATCAATTAAGCAAAAAGACGCCGCTCTTTAATGCACATCAATTTGGAATGCAACATCATTAATTTGGCCAATAAAACTTGACACTCGCTTGCCAACAGCCAATTAAACTTGCCCGTTGTGTCAACTACGTGAGTTGCATGCACAAAAAATAAAATTAAAAAAAAAATACCGATCGGGACTGCATTTTGTATTCCTTTACTGGCTGGCCATAATGATATGCATTGGCTCCTGCACAAAGCCAAATAGTTGGCCAGGCAATTTGCCTTGGCTTGAAGAGCGTACGTCATTTGCATCAATTGCCAAGCAACAAATATTTAGTTAGCAAAAAAATATAATAGAAAATTCTTAGAGTTTAAATATAGATAGAAAGAGTTTTCTTTGTGCTTGAGCTTTAATATTGAAAAAAAATCAGGAGAAGAAATATATTCCAAGATAAGCGAGAAAATAAAATAATAATATAATAGACAATTATGAAATATAAAATACAAAATACAAAATATAAAAAAGTATATAAAAATTAAAATTGAAATAAAAAAATTATCTCAATATATGGCGGAACTCGGGCTATGAATAAAATAAAATGAATCTTGACTAACATGTTTTGAAAAATAAAATCTGAAAATTATCAAGAAAACTCGGCATTCGACATACAAGAACTAATGAAAAATCTTGTATGCATAGCAATGTTTATTGTCTTAGAATCAATTCGGGAAAATCTCAAGAAAAATGATAAAATGTCTTGAATAGAATATTACATCACCTGAGTTTTGACAAGGTCAACAAATTGATTTAAAATCTTGGAAGGGCATTTACTATCCTATGTGCACATTGAACTCAGAGACTATTTCAGCTAAAGCGAAAAAATTTGGTATGCCATCTCTTCTGAATGAGAAAAAAAAGTACAAATGCAAATTGAAAGCATAGCAACTGTATATGTGTGTGTGTGTGTGTGTGCTATATAACTAAGTGCTACTTCCGTTTGGGCCAATCTCAACTAAGTACAACAAAGAGTATTATGGTTTTGCACCCAGAGTTGGACGCACCGATAAGGCCACAAATATGAAGCGTTGCACGTGTAAAATAAAGCTCAATGGATGGGTGGATTATGGCTGTGTGTGTGTGAGTACGTGTGTGTGTGTTAACTTTTATGAGCATGCCAATCAATATTAGTGCGAATTAGTGTACGCCTGTTGCAGGCCGCACGGCAACAAATCCGCCAGCTACTGTGGATTATGCAAATGATTTATATATATATATATCTATAGAGAGACTTCTTTTATTAATGAAGCAGCAGCAGCTCAGGTTGACTTCTAGTTTATTTATTACGCACACTTGCAGCGATAGGTTGTATACGATTCAGATAAATTATGTATATATATAATAATAATAATTACAAAAATTTGAGTTTACAATTCATGTTTACAGATGATTTCAGTTAATCACGCGAACAACTTTCATGGCCAGCCAAAAATGACCCAATCGAAATGCAATTGTTGTTGGTGTCGAGCCGAGCCCGTTGCTAATTGTATTGAATTGGGTAGATGGTTGTTGTTGTTGTTGGCTGGTTTAAAAACAGCTGACGGCATTGAAATAGCAGCGCCAATACATGCGGCCACCTCCGTTGGCAACGTGATGATGGATGCGCCTGGCGCCGGGACCCGGGCCAGCTCCAGCTGCTGCAGCCGCTGACGCTTTGCCGCCGTTTGTTGCATGTGCCGCTGCGTTGCCAGCTGCTGCTGTTGCTAATGATGCTGCAGGGCCAATGCCGCCGGCTCTTCTCTGAAAGCTCTTTGCCATTAACTGAAATTTTCTTACACCATTTTCCATGCTAATTGATATCTTTAATTGCATATTTTGGTTTCAATATCCAACTTACTGTTTCGCCAGTCGCGCGATTTATTTGATTTATATCTTTGAAATCATAATCCAGCATCACGCCAGGATCATCATCGCTATACATGTGAAAGCTATGGCTGCTCATCGGCATTTGGGCACCTGTTTTGTCCACAAAATCATAGCTCAAAGAATATCTCAAGTATAGCTCTGCTTACCTTCCTCCGTCGCCTGCAGCGGTTCCAGCGCATTCTTGTACTCGTTGGGCTTCAGTTGCATCATATTCTTGTTGGCATAGAAATCACCAATGCGATGACCGTCCCGCTCGTTCTCCAGCGCATGATGCAGCGCAACCATCAGCCGATCCAGCAATAAGGCAGCCCGCTTGGGCACAACCATCTGTGGGAGTTATATTAACTCATATTAAGACTGCAATTTTTATTGAGAATCAATCTGTAGAGAACTTTATCGAAGGACATCGTGAGGTTTGTTGAACTCTCCCATGTCTAGATATGCGAAAGAAATAATACTCCAATCGAATTTAGGCAGTTCCCTTAACAAATATCTGATCTTATACAAAATAAAAGCTCTCCACAATATTTATTTTCAGATAAGTTGGACAATGAAGCAGGCAAAGAGACGCACCTTCAAGATTGTGTTATTGTGTAAACGAAAATTGAAACTTTTTGCAAATAAGATTCAATTATTTGACCAAAGCGTCGTAAAGTGAGCCTAATGAAAATATGCGAACAACATGCTTAAGGATAATCAAACTAAGTTGAAAAAGAAAAAATTCCATTCAATAGGTGCACAAAACAATAATGATAATTTTAATATATTTAAAACGACGTCAAAACCCAGCTTAGACAACTCTTGAATAGTTTTCGGCAATTTCAGCTGGCATACCTTGCGTATGCGCAATTTCATTTACATCGCGTATACGCAATTTACTCAACGCCCACAGTACAAATTTGTAGACTTGACATTTTTGTAAAAGTATTTTTCTTGTTGTTGCTGTTTTTGTACACAATCTCAAACAATGTGACGTCAGCTGCGAGAACAGAATTTGGTGTAGGCGAAATAGGGGTAGGGGCAGGGGCAGGGGCAGGAGCAGAAGCAGGGTAGGGCTAGGTCCCTTTGCAATATCAAAGCAAGCAATTCACCTGCAGGGCAAGCAATCAAATGCAAGAAAATATACAATTACAAATTTTGTGTGTAAAACGAGACGCATTTTGGGCTTGACCAAGGCCCACGCAGTGTTTCAATCGCTGTGTGAGGGCATTTTAGGGGCAGGACAGGTAAGGGAAGGTACCGCTGGGAAGCATCACTCACCGGGTACTCATCATAGCTCATGTCAGCCGCATCGTTGGGCGCACTGAAAATCTCTTCCGGCTGGCTAACGGTCGTCGCAGCGATAGCTCGCTTCTCCATGGAGGTGGGCAGCAGCTGCTCATCGATATCCATGTCCTTGCGCCTGTGGACAGCGGCGCCCATCAATTGCCGGCACATGTGCAGCTCAAAGTTCTGCAGCAGCACGAGCAGCACAATCAGCAGGCCGGGCAAATAGTTAGCCCGACACCTGCTGCTCCTGTTGCCCCCGCTGCTCCTCTCCAGCAGCAGGCGGCGTTGGCGTCGCTGCTTTTGGCTCTCCAAGCGCCGCAGCAGCATGTTTCTTTGGTGCTGTTGAGGGACGAATTGAATGCTGGGAGTAACTAGACTAATTGCTGGCACTTCTGAGATTTTTGGCTGGATGCACTTTTCCGCTGGCCGTGCACACTTTGAAATTTCAACTGAAACGTTCGCTTTATGCGCTGCCCGCTTTTATAGACGATTTTTGTTGCGACTTTATTTTTTTTTCTTTTTTACACATATTACACATATTTTCTTCTTTTTTTACAATAATGAAACATTACAAACGCTTGTTAATCGTCTGCGAGGGCAACTCAAGTGGACGCCGCGTGGGCGGGCGCTTCATCAGTGGCATCAGGGGCATCAGGGGCAACAGGGGCGGGGCAACAGTGAAATGCTCTTTTCAGGCTGTGATTTACGTTGGCTACGCTTTAGCTTCTTGTTGTTGTTGTAATTATTGAACATAAAAATGCCATGTTTGACCTGCAGCAGTGTGTTATTAACACACACACACACACACACACACACACAAGGACACACACACCCACATGTTGCAGGCAATTGATCCTGCGTGCTTTCATCTTTGGCTAATGAGCAAAAGTGCGCAACGCTGCTGGATGTCCTTTATGCCAAGGCTAAGTTGAAGGATTTGCATGTCTGCGGAACTGCACAAAGCCGTCCATTCATGAATTGGACCAGGCCCAAAACAACCCACGCTTGCCACAAAAATAACCCTTTGCTTGCGGTCCACTTAAATCGTAGCCAATTCTGAGGCGCAACCAAATGCTTTGCCCGATCTCTAAGTGCGTCCGTATATCATTTCTAGAACATTTAGACCTGCACAGCGGGCGGCTGTCGGCCAGTTCCATTTGGCCATAAAACATTTGATGCGTTCCTTGACCCCGCTAAAGCCATTCGTTTGCCCACACTTAACTTTATTAATTAAATCACAACATGCAAATCATAATTAAAAGCCCAAACAAGCCCCACACCCTTCACAATAAAAACGAGCAACAAGTGTTACTTTTTAGCATGCGACTCCGTTTCGATCTATTAATGTTAGCATATACAACATACGTAGGCACCCTGGGGTGTCCTTTTTTTAATACCCTGCACAAAAATGAACGATTCGAGTATTAGTTTATTTGGCATTTTTTCGTCTCGTAAGGAATTATTAACTATAATCTGCATTTATTCTCGTTTTAATTTAATTCATAATTTTGTATTGAATTATCAATCCTTTTGAATAATTTTCTTCTCAACAATGATATTTTTTCCTTGATACGAAGCATTGGATATCTCGAATATTCGTTTGGCTCAAAATACAAAAGTTAATTTATGTTTAAAAACAACAACAAATTGGCCACGCCCATTCGAGCGTGTGTCTCTTTTAGTCGCCTTCTACGACAAGCGGGGACATGCTGTGGAGGTATTCTGTTGCCCGCCAACCACACGGGAAACTTAAACTTTTAAGTAATAAAAATAATATTAAACTAAATAAATATCAAAAAGAAGTTTTTACTATGCCTAAGAAAAATAGCTTAAGTGCCATGCAAATCAACAAATTACGCTACACTTTATTGCTAATTATTCTTTGTACATGCACTATTTCTTGCAGTGTAAACACTTTTACAGCATCCCTGGCAGCTGTCAAAATGGCGGTCCTGCGCAGTATCCAACACTGCTGTCAGCCCAGCAAACTGTCAAAACAACAGCGAGCGAGAGCGCATTGGAGAGTGTGGGAGAGAGAGAGAGAGAGAGAGCGATTGCTGTGGCGTCTAGAGGGCGGCCTGGTAGCACACAGCATCCAGTGTTTGGTGGGCTGGCAGCCGAGACGCCAGCAGCTGCTCCAGGTAAACGATTTCCGATAAAAATTGAAGACTCGTGTTGTCAGCTCTCGCTGCTGGACAGGCGGGGGGGGTGTGGTGGCTAACCAGGCGCAGTTGTGTGGAAAATGTTGTATTGAATGTGCACAAAAGCGTTGGCCATAAAATGTGGCACACAAACAATTAGCGTTAAATCAAAACAAATAAACAGGACGAAAGGCACAACAAAATGTCAAGGACTTAAACCAATTGCGGCAGCTGTGTGAGTGTCAGGATTTGTTTCAATTAAAGGTGCTAAAATGCGTGCCTACTATACCACAAAGGATAACCGAAAATACGGCGATATGAGCTATGAGTAAGTATGTGTGAGTGTGTGCGTGTGTAGATATAGATGTGTGTGTGTGTGCAGTCGCTTGTTTGCTTAAAGGACCAATTCGTATGCCATTTGCACGTCGAGCTTCCTCTGTTTGTTTATCCAGGCCAAAATGCAATTTGAAGCATCAATTGAGAAAAAACTGAAATACACACAAATCTCTGCCAGACGGGATTTCTTCTTAAGCCCATAAAGCTGGCGAACGGATAAAAGAGAAGCAATAATTGTCCTTACGAGCTTCCCACTCAAACAAACCGACTTTGTAGTCGGCCTTAATAAACGTTGCATACTTTTGAGCTGATTAATAACAAAGAAAGAAGCGTTGAGAGAATGCTTTGAGGCTGTAAAAACGTAACGCTTCTCGCAATTAATTTGAATTTTACCAATGTACTGTTACCCTTCGCTTTGTATATCGCTTCTCACTTTGCCAAGAAGTCCTACCTTCTAGAGAGAGAAGCGTCGCGAGGGCAGAGCAAAAGTCCTATCTAATAGCTTCACACTGTTATTGCCTTTGACTTATCTACCCTGATGCATATTCAAAGTGAAGGAAGAAGCGTTTAGCGAAGCTCCAGTAGTCAAAGCCTTACTTGACGCTTCTCTCTTTGAGCACACTCTGTCGGCCGTTTTTAATTTGTTCGAGAGAATATCGCTATTATCTTATATACAAGTTTTATTTTATTTCTATTAGCTCTTCCTACCACATAGGCACACTCGCCACTGTTTACAGCATTTCCTCATTTGCTTCTTTCTTCGCTTCTCGCTCTAAATTCAGCCATAAATTTGCAATGCATGCGCTTGAGCTTGTTGCTGGTTGCACATGCACAAGTCAGTTAGACTCTATTTCTCACACTTTTATTACAAAAGTAAGCAAATAAATAATAAAAAATAAAAAAAAATAAAAAAACATTGACAACGTCACGTCCTTGTGCCCATAAAAAGGACGCCAAAGACTTGTCCGTGCCTGCCGCACTAAGAGATGCTCAAGAGTGTGAGGACTGTGTGTGTGTGTGTGTGTGTATTTGTGTGTGTGTCTGTGTATGTTGTTGCTGCTGTCCTTTATGTTTTTTTTGTAGTTTTAATTAATGATAGTCAGCAAAAAATATTACAAGCTATAGGCAGCTGCTTGAGACACAACTTCCCAAGACAATGAACTCTGCCTGGCCGGCATTTAAGAGCTGTGCAAGGGTAGACAGAATCTAGCTTTGGCTAAACACAATTTAACAAATTTTCTTTACAATTGTTTTTTTACAATTAAAATATTTAAAGCATGTCTAAGAATTTAGGTTTTGGTTTATTTCTCTCTCAACCGTCAAAACTAAGTAGGTGCAGATTAAAAATGAAATAAAAAAATAATTTTTATAAAATTTTTTGTAATTTTATATGTTTCCTTCTAAGCTTTCATTTCAATAATTACTTTCTTTGGCAGCTTTAGAAGCTTTCGAATAAGAACATTCGCAAAAAGCATGCTTTGATAAAAAATGTTTGAAAATATCAAAAAAAAAAAAAAAAATTAATACGATCTATATAATTACAGAAGCAAATATCTGCTGGATCCGAAGTATATGACAAAACGTGATCTACAGCATTATTATCGATACTATAACATGACCAAGAATCGTGGCCAATTCAAGAAGATTGTGATTATCATATTCTGCGTGTGCGTCTTCTCCTATCTGTTTGTGGACTACAATCTGAGGACGCAGCTGCTGCGACTGCGCGATCGCTTTGATTTTATATCGCGCATCGATTACGAGCACAATGTGAGCCAGGCATACTTTATAGACACGCCCGGCTGCCGTATGCCCTACTTCGAGGTGTTCGACGAGAACATAGCCCAGTTCATGTTCAATCCGACGTCATTCAAATGCCGCAAGCCCTTGACGCGCACAAGCGATGTGATTGCCGGCCAGCTGCTGCTCAACATGGACGCCAAGGAGCAGCTGAAATATTATAAGATCAAGGATCTGGCCAAGATCAGCTGCAGCTATAGGGAGGTGCGACGGCGGACGGACAACAAGAACGAGCTGCTGTCGCCGGTGCCCATCAAGCTGGCCCCAACGATGCAACTGCCAAAGGATTTGGAATTTATGTGCATGGAATGCCAGAATCTGGCGGGTTCCATTATCTACAAAGATTGTCACTTCTTTGTGGTGGACAAGCCGGAGAAGAAACGAAAGAAATTATTCAAGCGCATCAGCCTTGATAATTCAACTGCACAGGAGCCCCAAGATCGCCTCTCTGTGATGGTGCTGGGCATTGATAGCGTCTCGCACCTGAACTTCCATCGGCAAATGCGCCGCACGGCGGCCTATATACAGCAGAAGCTCTCGCATGTGGAATTCTGGGGCTACAACAAGGTGGGCGACAATACGTTCCCCAACTTGGTGCCGCTGCTGAGCGGCCTGGACGATCAGGAGCTGAATATATCGTGTGTGGCGCCATTGGCGCGTCCCAGCTATGATGGCTGCCGATTCCTCTGGAAGCGCTACAAGCAGGCCGGCTACAAGACGATCTTTGCCGAGGATGTTGGCCTGCTCGGCCTGTTCAATTTTGGACGCAGCGGCTTTCGCGAACCGCCAACGGATTACTATTTGCGTCCCATGCTGCTGGAAATGGAGGAGCAGATAGCCACCAACAAGGACACCAATATACAGCTGTGCATGGGCGGCCGGCGCACAGCGGATGTAATGTTCGAGTATATGCGGAAGTTTGTGCCGCGAATGCGCCGTGATCTTTTCTTCTCGTTCTTCTGGTCGGTGGCGCTCACCCATGACTATTTCAATGCGCCGCGCATGCTGGATTCGCAGCTGGCATTGAACCTCCAACAGCTGCACGAGTCGGGCGTGCTGAATCGGACACTAGTGTTGCTTATGTCAGATCATGGCCTGCGCTGGGGCTCTTTTCGCAGAACCTATCAGGGCATGATGGAGGAGCGCCAGCCGCTGCTCATAGCACTGTATCCCGCCTGGCTAAAGCAGCGCTATCCGCTGGCCATAGCCAATCTGGAGCTGAATGCCAAGCGCTTGATCACACCCTTCGATTTGCATGCCACGTTGCTGCAGTTGCTCGACATGCGCAATCTGCAGGCGGATCAGCTGCAACAGAATGTCGCCGAGCTCCGGGACATCGATAGCACGCTGCCGCGTGGCATAAGCCTGTTCCTGCCGGTGCCGGCGGAACGCAACTGCGACCAGGCGAGCATTGCGCCCCACTGGTGCACCTGCCATCAGCGCAAGGAGATGCCCACCAACAATGAGCGCGTCCAGCGTGCCGCACGCTACTTGGTGCGTTTGATCAATGATCGTCTATCGGCCCATACGCAGTGCCGCACGCTCTATTTGAACTCCATACTGCAGGCGTTCATCGCGGCGCCACACCAGAAGATTGTCAAGGATATTAACAACGACTATTCGGTGGACATAACGTTGCGCTTCCAGACCAAGCCCGGTCTGGCTGTCTTCGAGTCGACGGTGCGCATGACCGGATATGTGAGCACCCTAACGGGGACCATCAGTCGGATCAATCTGTATGGCAGCCAGAGCTACTGCATCAAGGATTCGTCTTTGAAGATGTTCTGCTATTGTCACAGATAAGCGTTAAACCCTATTTAAAGACTTTTATGCCCCATACGTAGCCTTAGATCTATTATGCTTAAGTTAAGCCAAACTATTTCTATGAAATATTTAGCGCAGACTTTGTATAAAGTTATTCAATTGAATCTTAACTACCAAAGAAGCTCGCAAGTCTTCTGGCTAGTTGCGAGAGTTCAAACGTTTGTATTAATTTAGTGACAATAAAAATAGCTCCATACACAAATACAATATATAGACGCCTTCCTTGGGGGTTCAATATGAGAACATAAATTCCATAAGTACTTTCAATTTTTCCGTTTATCAACTGAAAGTTACTGTCTTGACTAACTGGCCTGCTTATTCTATTTTTATTTTTTAACAAACAATATCATATTTACAATCAAATCATAAAATATTATGGAATATAAACAGTCGCTTGATAATTTAATTTTACATGTTCTTTTTTACCTATGCTATATTATTCCTTCTTTTTTTTGTTTTGTCAAAAAACAGCGGCTGATCTATATAAAATTTAACAAGTATTTCTATAATAAAACAATACATTTAAAAAACTTTCTAGCTTCAACTATTTGATGGCACCAAAGGCACAAGCTCTATTTTTACATAGCCATTATCAACATAGTCCACACTTAATTGCTCAAAGGAAAGTATTAAATTGGAGTGTACGAAATGTTGACGAATCTGAAAGATGCAGTTTCTCATTAAAAGAAAATAATCTGGAATAAGGCATATATACACACCAGATGCTCGTTGTCGCCGGTGTTGTGACAGTTTAATGTCAGCGGTGCAGGGCGCTTGCTAAGCGCATCCTCCATGGGACGCCTGCTAAAGTCAAAGAATTCGGAATATAGCTGCATGCCCGATATATTTAATACTCTCAACGAGCTGCAGCCGGCTAGGGTTTGCCAGAGCTCAGTCTCTGTGCGCCAAAATTGAAAATTGATCAGATTCAATTGCTCCAAAATTGGCAGTGCAGAGATTAGAGATTGCAATTGAGACACTTTAAAGCCATCATCTTCGATGAGCGTCAACTGTCGCAAGTTCTTGACCTTTTGGAGTGTTGCCAGCGCACAATCCCAGATGATGTCGTGGAAGACGAGCTCATGTATGTCCAGAGCACGCTGCTGTATAATTTTACCAAGAATATCATTACTTTTGTCTCCAGGATGGAAGCAGAGCGTTCGAAGCTTGGGCAAACATAGTATGCTGTCAGTGGAAATATTATTTATAAAATCACAATCAATTGTTAGCTGTTCCAGTTTCGGAAACTTGCACATCGATACGCTTTCATCAATTGGCCAGCTTTCGCTTAAGTCCAGTTGCCGCAGCTGCGTCCATTTGGCAATTATTCTGCCCTTAAACGGCCCAAACGGTTTGACAGAGTTTAATTCTGGAAAAAGCACTACTAAGAGCTCCAATGCTTGCTCAGCTCTGGCCAATTCGTCGTACTCATCCAGCGTATAGGCCAGCACTCGCGTTCTCGGAAACCTGTGCCCCACCCAAAGCTTCAATTGCTTCAGCGTTATATATTGCAGGTCCAGCTGCTGAACGCTTGGACTGATGGCGCACAGGAATGCCTCAAGGTGTTTCGGATGCTCCCCAAACTCGTCGAGTGTTTCTTTCCTTAGCACATAGCTCAATTTGTGTTGCCAGGCATAGCTCACATTACTGTTCAATCGGGGTGCGATGTCTTCGGTTGCTTCCCACAGCGCCAGTTGGTCCTTGAGCTCCAAATAGTTTACAATGAGCAGTTGGCAATCATCGTTCAGGTTCTCTATCATCTTGGCAGGCTCATAAGCGGCACTTACATTCGAAAAATGTGCATAAATTTGATTTAAAATCTCTTTTATTGATGTTGGCTGGCTAACCGATCTCGCTCGATAACGATAACGATAACGATAGCTTTCGAATTTGATTTGCTTGTGAAATTCAACAGCCGGCATGCATTTTGCCGACAGTGTTGCCCCCAAAGCTATTTATTAGCCAAGTCAATTATTTTAAGCTAGAAATGGAATATTTCTATTTTGGATGCTATCGTTTCGAGTCCCGTTTAAAATATAGTTAAGTTTGTTACGTTAGTCCTTCAGCTACTATTATCTAAATTTTAGCAATATTAACATTGCTTTTCATTTGTTATTTAACTTTGAATGAAAGGGGTATCTATAAACTCTATGCTAATTTTAAAGTTTCGTTTGGCTTCTAGTAGCTAATTATGGCTATATCTAGCTTTTTTTGACACTGAACTTCTGGCAAGTTCTGCTCATCAACAAAATTGTGGAGTGCATACACTGCTGTGCAGCCCTGGGTTAAGCGATACTAAGTATCGATATACACGAAACGCGATAACTTCTTATTGTTATTGTTCGTGTTCGTCTTCTCTTATCAGTTCGTTTTGTTTCGTGCTTTAGTTAGTAAAATTAATTAAATTTCGCACTTTATGTTGCCCCTACACACATCACGACCATCAGCCCCGCCAGCCATATAAAACCCAAATGCCGCCAACGGAGACATTACGCGCTGGCAGCGGCAGCGGCGAACGAAGCGGCGGCAACTCGGAACAGACGTACATCATAAGACAAAGCAACAAATGCTACGAGCATCGCGATTCACAGGCAACGGCCATGTCGGTGAACTACTCGGGCCAATGGGTGCTGCTGGCTGGTCGTGGTTATTTGGCATTGCAGCGCTTGGGCCAAGATGATGGAACGTTGCGTCGTCACGAGCGCCAGTCTAAGTACGAGGTGTCCGTGGCAGAGTTTGCCATATGCCCCAGTCGTCGCGAGTACTGCGCCATTGCGGTGAGTGCAGATTCTTTGAAATGTGTAACTCTCATCCATTATGTCTTCTGCATGCTTTCCAGACTAGTCAAAATATTGACATTGTGCGCTGGGGTCCCGCCGAGCCGCACTATGAGAATTCCCTGCGTGGCCATACGCGCACCGTTACCGACATTGACTGGCACAGCAAGAATCCCAATCTACTGGTTAGCTGCTCGATCGACACCTTCTCGCACATCTGGGATCTGCGCGATCCGCGCAAGCCGGCATTATCCCTTAATGCTGTCTGCATGTGTAAGTGCCATTCTGTAAAACATTTTATGCTTGCTAAACTTAAACTTTGCTTTGTTCGCTTGCAGCGGGTGCCACTCAGGTTGGCTTTAATCGCGTCTCGGGCAATTTGCTGGCCGCCGCTCATGACGGTGATCTGCGCATTTGGGACATACGCAAGGGCAGCTGCCCAACGCACTATATTACAGCGCATCTGAATCGCGTGCATGGCATCAATTGGAGTCACAGGCGCGAAACGTGCTTGGCCACAGCCAGTCAGGATGGCACCGTCAAGTACTTTGATGTGTGCAATCCCAGGCGTGCCGAGAAAATCATAACCACGCTATCGCCCGTGTGGCGTGCGCGGTACACGGTATGCCTGCCAATGCCTTACGAGAAATCGCCTTTGCATATGTTTCACTTTTGCTTTAGCCTATTGGCAACGGTTTGGTCAGCATTGTGGTGCCGCACTTGGGTCGCGGTGAGAACAGCTTACTGCTTTGGAGTAATAGCAAGCAAACGGATCCAATTTGCTCGTTTGTGGGTCACACCGATGTTATTCTAGACTTCGCATGGCGCCCCAACCACGAGAACTTTACAGAAATCGTAAGCCAATTGCTCACACGAAAGCTCCTTTTGAATCCGCTTTAAATTTGCAGGAATTGGTCACATGGTCACGGGATCGTACGCTGCGCGTATGGAAAATCGATGATACCATGCTGAAACTATGCGAGCCCTCGCCCGATGAGGATGAGGAGGGCGATTCGCCACGCTACGAGACCGAGTTGAACGAACTGCGCGCCCTAACGCCGCCAGAGTTTATGCATACGCTGCAGCCGCGCCCGATGATAGCTGCCTCGCTGCCCATAGCTGCCACGCTCGAGCCGGGCACGATTAACTTGCCGATGGCACGCTCGCCCAGCTTTGGCGGTGTCTATGCCCGGCGTGAGGAGACGCATATTGCACGCTCGCTGACAGATCAACCGACCTGTTCGCTGCAGCATGAGTTCTCGCTGCTGAATACCAATATGCCGCATGTGGACGTGGACATGCTGTGTGCCATAAAGCGTTACGCATGCTTTAAGATCTGTGCGGCTGATCACACAATCATATTGCAGGTGACCTTCCCCACCTCCTATCCCAGCCCGAATGTGCCGCCCGATTTTCAATTCTGCCAGGGCACCACCCTCTCCAGCGATGTGAGCAGCGTGCTGATCAAGGTGCTGCGCACCAATGCGCTGCAGCGTGTCAAGAAATCGCGCAGCTGCCTGGAGCAATGCCTGCGCGCCCTGGTGGCAGCCATGAAGAAACGTGTTACGGCCGTTGCTGGTGCCGGCGCGGATCGCAGTCAGCTGCTGCTGCAATCGCCCAGGCTGGAAGGCGCGTTGTCCAGTGCACTGCACGATGCCTGCATACCCTTTCCACGCACCTCGGGCGTACATTTCAATGCCATCGGCATGCTGACCACCTTTGCCCAGGTGATGAGCACAAAACGTTTAACACTGCGCCAGCATCAGGCCATCACGCCGCGCACCCTGAGCGCTATCAATGGCAGCGGCCTGCTGGGCAATGTGATGGCAACCAAAACACAACGGGATCCGAACGCCTCGTTCTATCTGCAGGAGCGCATGATTGCCTGCAAGCGCTTGCAGGGCAAGCAGCGTGTAATGCGCCAAATCAATGGCACCACGCCCGTTGTCCATGTGTACGATGCGAGCCAATTGCTGCACATTAATCGGGAGATGGCGCGCGAATTTACGCTGGATAAACGCGACATAGCCGAAACGTGTCGACGCAATGCTGAAATATGCCGCAAACATGGCCGCTCGGATTTGCTGCCCATTTGGCTGCTGGCAGAGCTGATAGCGACGCCGCATGTGCCGCACGAGTCGATGAGCTCGGAGCTGCTCTTCTATATGGATCCATTTAAGAAATCTCTGCTGGAGTCGCTGATCATGCACTATGCCAGCGCTGGTGATATTCAAATAGCCGTCCTGCTCGCCTGCCTCTTCGACAAGTGTCCAGCTGCGTTGAAGGACGTCATGGATGTAAACAGCTGTCCACGGCTGCCCGCACAGCTGCATAGCCAATTGTCGCCGTATCATACGGTGCTCCCGCTGGACTTTAAATCATCGTCACAAGCACGTGCGACCAGCGGCAATTTGCAACAGCTGAAGCAATTGCGCAGCAACTCCTGGTCCGATTCTCTGGATTGCTTAGACTTTAAGCTCGTTCAGACGGATGCGTATGCCTGTTCGCTGATCAGACGCGCCAAGATGCCGCTCTTCGATCAGTTTAAGCGCGCCTATGCGGACGTCTTGTTTGGCTGGCAACTGCTGTCGAAGCGTGCCCTAATCCTCAAGCATACGCTGCACACGCCGCCGCCAGCGCAGGGCGTTGAGTTCGTCACCGAGTGCAGCGGCTGTGCCAAGCCGAAGCGTACGCCCAAATGTGAACCCTGCAAGCGTCCAGTTTTGTTTTGCATCCTCTGCTGCCTGCCTGTACGCGGCGCGGCCAATGCGTGCATCTCCTGCGGCCATGGCGGTCACATGCAGCACATGATGCAGTGGTTCGAGGTACGTCACATATACTAATTTCACAGCTAGTTCGATTAAATTAATTTCATGCTTTTTCTTACTTTGCCGCCCAGCGACACGATGTGTGTGCCACGGGCTGTGGCTGCAGCTGCTTGCAGCGCACCTCGGAGCTGCTGGCCCTGATAAGCTGATCCATTGCCGATGCTGTGGGTGGTCCCAACCAGAGTAGCTTTAGATTTGATAGCACTTGACGCTGTGGAAATCAAAATACCTACACATAGATATTTTTATTTTTTTTTTTTTGTAGTCTCCAAGACGTTTTGTTATTATGACGATGATAAATATAATAGATATATACTCTTGCTAGCTTGCCGTTCCTAATTTACTGCAGCTCTTTGGGAGGTACCAACATGAATTATATGTTAAATGTATAAACAGAATTGTGTGGGATCAGGTCGTATATTTTATGAACTTGCGCTTTCGCATATACGTACTTACATATGTGCATACGTATGTGCATACATACGCACATACGTACGTACATACACACGTACATACATACGTACATACATACGTACATACACACGTACACACATACGAACATACATACACACGTACGTACAAACATATATATGTGCGTACAAACATACATACATACGTACATGCATACATACGTACGTACATACATACGTACATGCATACATAAGTACATGCATACATACGTACATACATACATACATACATACATACATACATACATACATACATACATACATCTACATACATACATACAAATACATACTTACTTACCGGCTCCACCTCCTCCTGCTCTACCGCCTCCAGATGCTCCTCCACCGGCCGCTGCTGCCAACGTCTGCTGCCTTGCTGATTGTCCGCACGGCCTACTTAAATTTTTGAGAATCGAGGAGGAGGGCATTTAAAAATACGTTTTTTTTTTAAAGTCGCAGCGAAAGTGGCATCCAACTTAGACTGTGTTATTCACTCAAGTCTTCGTACATACACACACACACATGCATACATACTCACATATGCATATGCATGCACACATATACATATACATACATACATATATTCCAAAATTAGGGAAAGTGCGATTCAAAGATTTTTTTAAGATCAAATAAGACTTCTGATTAGGTCAGATCTATAAAATTATTTAAACAAATGGACGTAGCATGTTTAAACATGGGAAACCTGAAGTGTCCGAATGCAATAATTATTTATTAGTTTTTCAAATACATATATTAATTTTTATTCTTATTGATTTTTAATTTTTTTTTTTCGATTTTAGGCTTAGCTTAATATTTACGCATTTACTTGTAGTTCTGTAATTATTTTTTTTAGCAATCATCAAAATTGTCCGTCCCTCTTTAGAAAGTCCGTTTTAGTTATTTTGAAAAAATTTAGTATTTAAAAATGTAATTCTATAGCTCTGCTTTAACGTGTATTTTACTCTTTGATAAGCGTCATGATAAATGGAAAAAAATCTTTATAGATAAAGCGCGCAGAAGGAACAGAAAGAAAAATACTCAATATTTTTAAAATTATATATATATATATGTATAAAAAAGGTTAACTTATTGCAATTGATGATCACGCTAGATAAGCACGTTCCTCACTTTTTCCTATTTTTCTGTTGTTGGAAAACACAATATCGTGACGAGAACATGAGTTAAGATCTAAATATAAAATTATAAAATAAAACAAAGAAACGCACACAAAACAAATAGTAACGAAAAACTGTATGAAAAATTGTGGCTAAAACTTTCAGCTTACGTTGTCAAATTGGACAGTTAGGATATATTGAAAGGGAAAGGTATAAGAGTTCAAATTGAAGCTAGAGCTAGAAACGGTTCTATCGGGATGACCTGCTTAACTACAAACGTGTCCGTATGTCTGTGTGGGTGTCTGTGCATGGGGCTTGGGTTTGGGTTCGAGTTGTTGTCAGTGCCAACCACTGGCAATTGCAGCAGTATCGCAATATCATTTGAATTGATCACGGTAAGTGGCGCTGCACATGGCAATCAATAGGCGAACATTGCTACATTGCGGACTTTTGGGACAATTCTTGATGAACAGCTGGCAATTGCGATACAGCTCGGAGAGCACTTTCGGTGCATGCTCGCGCGTTATGGGATCCGACATATTAATGGCCAGCAGCGCCTCATTGAGGTAGCTAAAAGTTGCAAAAACATTTAATAACTTGAACATTAAGTGCTTGCATCCGTTTATCCTTACCTCTGTTTAAGCTCATTATGGTTGCTCATGTCCGCTGATATTTGCTGAATGAGTGAGAGCAGCACCTTTTGCTCCAGCCGACAACCCTCAGGCGCAAAGACCTGCATGCGATCCGTATGCCGCAATGTGAACTCCACCAGATTCAAATCATTGGCAAGCAGTGCTTGATGAAAGGCTTTGTTGATTTGACCCGCCAGCAGCAGTTGTTTAATGCTCTCACGCAGATCATAGGTGGGCGCCGGTGTGGCTGCCTGCGAGCGCAACGCCATGTTCTGATTATCCATATGCTTGCGCAGCTCGGTACGTATGGTCTCCTGCACCTGGCGGGCAAGCAATATCTCCAGGCTCTTCACCTCGCGCTGTGTCTCCAGCATGGCGTCGGTTAGTTCGGTGCGATGCTTAAGTAAATTTGTCTCTACCAGCTGCTTTAATAGGCCCAGCTTGTTGCTCAGCTCCTCGCTATTGTGCGGCTGTGGCATGTGCTGCAGATACGCGTTAAACTCCACCATGACTACGAAACAAAGATAAATATATATTTTGAAAACATTTTGTTAAGGCCAATCTGATTCCTCACTTACAATCTTTGATGCCCACGCTGAACGCTTCGTGCAGCTGCTTGAACATATTTTGCGAGGACTTCTCGTAGGCTGGTATCAGAGTGCTGCTCATGGACTCAATAAAGGCCGTTTGCAGGCTTGTCTGAACGCCAATCAGCACAGATTTGCCAAAGGCATCCAGAAATTGCTGTCAATGCAAATAGTTGTTGTTACGACACGACAATTCGATTGAATTTTACAATGGTATACCTTGCTTTTGCACACCTGTGCAATGTTCTCCTTGACCGTCTTGTCAAACACATTTAATTTTTGCACTATCTCCAGTTGCATTTGATTCTGCAACTGATCCATTTTGGCATTTACGCGTGGCAACAGCTGACGCTGCAGCTCCATGTTCAGAACATTGCCAATAATGTCCGTAAAATGATTCATAACATACTGATTGAGCACCTGCAGCACCGAATCTCGCAGTTCACGATTTTGAGTCTCACTAACATATAGAAAAAGAGCCAAAAAAAATATATATAGTTAAAGTATAGGATGGTTATATGCATTATAAAATGAAATAAATAAAAATAGCCATTCCAGGAACTATCAAAACAGACTTTTTGTATGCAGCACCGACCACCATATCCTATAACTCTACTAGCAACAATTGGTCAAGTTCTTCTAAATTCTTCAAAACTTAAAACAAAACTCATATATGTACTTTATACACATAAAATGTAGATACGGGACCGCTACATACAAAATAATCATATGTATGCTTAAATCTTTGAAATGTTAAAGGGCTTCATTACTCCTATTGAATCTAGCTATTATATATATAGTGACATATCCATAGTCGCACCCACCCTTTAACATATCTTAGCACATAAGCATAAGCACAATTATAAACATTTCTAATATTGTAAACAAAGAGCCTGGTGATAACATCGACATTGGTCAAGATCAAACTGTCCCCCTTTGGTAGACATAAACAATTCACCCTAAATATCACGCCACTGTCAATGTTCCCATCAGAGTACTATCCCACGCATAATTGCTGACGCAGCTCAAACTTCACTCAATTTTGACTCAAACTCTCTCAAAGCGAAGTTTGCTAAGCGACCGCAACAGTTAGATAAATCAGTTCATATTCGGGAAGCAAATCTGAATGTACTCAACAAAAGTAGCCGTTAAGTGAAAATAATAAATTGAAATATATTTTTTTATAGTAACCTAACGTGCAAAACTTAATTGGCGCAGCCGGTAGGATACGTCGGGAAAAATTAAAGATCGCTAAAGGATAATTAATTCCCAGATCTAACGCACAATCGCGACCGAAAGTGTTGTCGGAGTGTAATAAAAATTTTCTCGAATACGTATCCGCACAAGAACCTTCGGGTCATTAGTAGCTTAATAATATTGACCCTTTGGGCAATAAAGCTACTACAGTTAATAACGACTGGCTTTGCATATCGTTTGATCCCTGCAATACGTTATTACTGAGTCTTTTTAAGACACACACACAAAAAAAAAAAAAAACATTTACACAATAATCCATCACAAACTTTAACTTAAAATAAAAGTGCAAAATCAAAGAACAATAAAGTTCAAACCTACAAACTCAAAACTATTCAAAAAAAAGTGTATTACACCAAGATGACAATGGAATTATCAGAACAACACCTCAACCAGGCCCTTTCACAACTTAGACAGGTGCCAAGCTTTGACGGATCAACGGATCAACTAAACGCCTTCATTAAAAGGATAGATTACATCCTACACCTGTATCCAACCCGAGATGTTAGACAACATAGCATCTTATACGGAGCCATCGAATTGCAAGTCACAGGAGATGCTCAGAGAATATCACAAAGGACAGCAGCCAACACTTGGCAGGAGCTGAGAAACGCATTGATTGAAGAATACAAAGTGCAGACACCATTTGAAGAACTCCTTCGACGCTTATACAACACGAATTACCAAGGAAACGTCCGTAAGTTCATCGAGGAGCTCGAGAATAAATCTTTTGTTATTTTAAATAAGTTAGCACTAGAAAATATACCTAGCAATACAACCCTTTATACAAATGCTATGAATAACACAATCAAAGATGTTATTACAAAAAAATTACCAGATAGGCTTTTCATGATGTTAGCCAGACACGACATTACGTCGACACAAAAACTAAAGCAAGTAGCTCAAAGAGAGGGATTATATGAAAATAGCTTTACTGAAAAACCTAAAAATAATAATGTTCAGGGAAATCCAAATAACAATCGTAGGAACATGGGAAATTATCAGCAAAATGCTAACCCAACCACCATTTCAAGTGGTTATTCCAACACAAATCAGAGTTATCACGCACAAAATAAACAGCACAATAAGTCCGAAGACAATCAGAAAGCTCACCACGAGTTCCAACAGAAATTAAGTCAAGGTAGATACCAAAATCCCTTAAACTACCAAAATCAGTCCCATTCACGCTTGAATGCACCAAACCCTCCGACTAAACGTCAAAGAGATAGTAACAGTGGGCAGATGAAAATGGATACATCCGAAAATTTTCATCAGCAAGCCTCGGAACAAACAGAAGAAATCCATTCATAAAATTGATTATGAATGACGAAGTTCTAAAATGTGTCATCGACACAGGTTCAACCATTAATCTAATGAAAACTAACCGCTTAAATTTTCCAGTTTACAACGAAACATTAAAGGTTCACACCATAAATGGTGTTATTGAATTAAAACAAAGTATACGATTAGGAGCAAGCAAAATTTGTCCGAGCAAACAAAAATTCTATATTCACGACTTCTCAGAGCATTATGATGTTCTGATTGGGAGAGAATACCTTGAGGCATGTCAAGCAAAAATAGACTATGCACAAGGATCCGTAACCTTAGGAGAATTTAACTTTTGTTTTAGATATAACGACGAAGAGGTCGAAGAGGACATGACCGCACAAGAGTGCCTTGATCCACCCTCAACAGAGGACAGACCATTTAACTTCGCTATAAATAATGAATTAATAGAAAACAATGAGTTTAGGCTAGAGCACCTAAACTCAGAAGAAAAAGAAAAAATAAAAAAAGTTTTACATGAATTTCGTGATATCCAGTACCATGAAGGTGACAATTTGACTTTCACTAGTACAATTAAACACAAAATTCTAACAAAACATGAGGACCCAATTTACAAGCGTCCATACAAATATCCTCAAATATACGATGAGGAAGTAAATAAACAAATAAGCGATATGATAAAACAAAATATCATACGTAAATCCAAATCCCCTTACTGCTCACCAGTAATAATCGTTCCAAAGAAAAACGATGCATCTGGAAAGCAAAAATTCCGGTTAGTCATAGATTACCGCAATCTCAATGAACTAACTATTAATGATAAATACCCTATCCCGATCATGGATGAAATATTAGACAAACTTGGAAAATGTCAATATTTCACAACCATTGATCTAGCCAAAGGCTTTCACCAAATCCAAATGGATCCTGGTTCAATACCCAAGACCGCATTTTCGACTAAACATGGCCATTACGAGTACACTCGCATGCCATTCGGTCTTAAGAATGCACCTGCAACGTTCCAACGTTGTATGAACAATCTCTTAGAAGATTTAATTTTTAAGGATTGTCTGGTCTACTTAGACGACATTATTATTTTTTCCACTTCATTGGAGGAACACATTTTGTCGCTACAAAAGGTATTTAAGAAGCTTAGAGAAGCTAACTTAAAACTACAGTTGGATAAATGCGAGTTTATGAGAAAAGAAACTGAATTTCTCGGTCACATCATCACAACTGAGGGTATAAAACCAAATCCCAACAAGATACAAGCAATTGTCAAATTCCCAATTCCAAAAACCCCAAAAGAAATTAAATCATTTCTAGGATTATGTGGTTTCTATAGGAAATTTATACCAAATTTCGCTAATATAGTAAAACCATTAACACTTAAATTAAAAAAGGGAGCAAAAATCAATATAAAAGACAGAGACTACGAGCTAGCGTTTGAAAAGCTAAAAGTACTCATAACATCCGACCCAATTTTAATATACCCTAACTTCGAAAAACCATTTTCATTAACTACAGACGCGAGTAATATGGCAATAGGGGCCGTCCTTTCGCAAGAGCATAAGCCTATATGCTATGCAAGTAGAACTCTCAACGAGCATGAGTTAAATTATTCAACGATTGAAAAAGAATTATTAGCAATCGTTTGGGCCACTAAATACTTTAGGTCCTATCTCTTTGGTCGACAATTTCAAATCCTTAGTGATCACAGACCACTCGTCTGGTTAAATAATATGAAAGAACCTAACATGAAATTACAAAGGTGGAAGATCAAGCTAAATGAGTTTGATTTCCAAATTAAATACGTCCCAGGAAAAGAAAATTATGTGGCAGATGCTCTGTCCAGAATTCAATTAAACGAAAACTTCTTAGGCGAAGATACAATTAGCACAAGAGCAACAATACATAGTGCTCAAGAAGACAACAGTAACCATTTACAAATCACAGAAAGACCACTTAATTATTACAATCGACAAATAGAATTTGAAAAAGGAACCGAGAACGAAACAAAAGTTACGAATTACTTTCACAAAACCAACATAAAAATTACGTACAAAGACATGACTAATACGCATGCCAAAGAATTAATAAAAGAATACTTATGCACAAAGAAAAGTGTGCTATACTTCCACAACGAAGCAGATTTTCCAATTTTTCAAGAAGCCTACTTAGAAATAATAAGTCCGAATAATTCAACAAAGGCAATGAAAACTAGTACAAAATTAATAGACCTTCAAACATACGCAGAATTCAAAGAATTAATATTAAAAAAGCACAAAGAATTATTACATCCAGGAATTGAAAAAACTATCAATTGGTTCAAAGAAACCCACTATTTCCCAGATTATCAAAATTTAATTCAAAATCTAATAAATGAATGTGAGATTTGCAACATCGCAAAAACAGAACACAGAGATACAAAATTAACTTTCGAAATAACTCCAGAAATCGCTAATATCCGAGAAAAATATGTAATGGATTTTTACATAGTAGGAGATAAACAATTTTTATCTTGCATTGATATCTATTCAAAATTTGCATCATTATTAGATATAAAAAGTAAAGACTGGCTAGAAACCAAACGAGCTATATTACAAGTGTTCAACCAAATGGGTAAGCCCATCGAAATAAAGGCAGACAAAGACTCAGCTTTTATGTGTACAGCTTTACAATTATGGCTAAAATCAGAAGCAGTAAATATTAATATAACCACTAGTAAAAATGGTATATCCGACGTAGAACGATTTCATAAGACAGTTAACGAAAAACTAAGAATCATTAACAGCGACTCAGACGTCGAAAATAAACTTACAAAATTTGAAACTATACTCTACACGTACAATCATAAAACAAAGCACAAAACGACTAACAGAACACCAGCGGACATATTCATATATGCAGGTACACCAGAGTATGACACTCAAGCTAATAAAGAAAAACTAATAAATAACCTCAACAAAAAACGAACAAATTATGAAATTGACACTAGATACAAACACTCACCGTTAGTTAAATCAAAGACGACAACCCCGTTCAAGAAAACAGGAGAACTAAGACAAATCGACGACAAACATTTTGAGGAAACTAACAGAGGCAGGAAAATAACACATTACAAAACCAAATTCAAAAAGAAAAAGAAGACTAATCAAAGCAAATATAACAATTACAGGTCAACAACAGACAGCGATCAAAACATACAAGCACCAGCTTAAATTAATTATTATAATATTACTATCAATAACTGTAAACCATATAAATGCACAGAGTATTGAAATTAATCCTATCAAAGCCCATAACGGATATCTCATATTTAAAACAGGAACCATAGACATTCCGACAGATTACGAATTCCACTGTTTAACGGTTAATATAACAAAAACCGAAGAAACTTTTAACAATTTAATTGAACAAAGTAAAGAATTCAATAACCTTATACAAATCGAATACCTAGTAGAAAAATTAAACAGAGAAATAAACGGCTTAAAAATAGCCAAACGCAGCAAAAGAGGTTTAGTTAACATAGTAGGAACAGCATATAAATACTTATTTGGAACATTAAATCAAGAAGACAAAGCAGAAATTGAACAAAAAATAAGCAACTTAGCAGAAAACAGCGTTCAGGTTAACGAATTAAATTACATAATAGAAGCTATAAACAAAGGAATAGAAATCATGAACGAACTAGATCAAGAGAAACAAAAAGGAAAGAAATTAGATATCCTTATATTTAACTTACAACACTTTACAGAATATATAGAAGACATTGAGATGGGAATGCAGCTCACAAGATTAGGAATTTTTAACCCAAAATTACTAAAACATGACTATTTGTTGCATGTTAATTCTGAGAAATTGTTGAATACAAAAACTTCCACTTGGTTTAAATCAGATACAAACGAAATACTGATAATATCCCATATTCCTCGAGAAATAATAAAAAGCCCGGTATTCGAAATAATTCCATACCCGGATGAAAATAATAATATTTTGACAGAAATAGCTCATGAAAAATATTTTACCCAAGATAAAAAAGTTTATAGCAGAGAAACAAAAAAATTAATTAATAATGAATGTTTAACAGGAATTTTAAACCAAATAACATCAGAATGTAGTTATACTAAAATTTTGCAAAATTTTCAAATCAACTACATAGAACCAAATATAATTTTAACTTGGAATTTACCAAAAACTATATTAAACCATAATTGTATAAATAACGAAATAACAATAGAAGGAAACAATATAATAAAAATCTTTAATTGTTCATTGCAAATTAATGAAATTTCAATTTCAAACAATATGTTAGATTATACTCAAAGCATTTACGTAAGCAATGATGTTATAAAATTAGAACCACTTTCGTTTGTACAAACGAAACAAATTATAAATGCACATACAAAATTTAACAATGTATTCCAGATAATTACAATAACCATATTTGTAATCATATTAATAAGTTTAACACTGTATTTGACATATAAGTTCAAAAGCATACCTAAGAAATTAATTATAAAATATAAAAAACCCAAAGTAGAAGAAACACCTACAATAATAGGAGATATACCAATTGTAAAAGAAGAAAATGTTACACTATATCCAAACTTAAACACCTGAGGACAGGCACTTTTCTAATGGTTGGGGGAGTGACATATCCATAGTCGCACCCACCCTTTAACATATCTTAGCACATAAGCATAAGCACAATTATAAACATTTCTAATATTGTAAACAAAGAGCCTGGTGATAACATCGACATTGGTCAAGATCAAACTGTCCCCCTTTGGTAGACATAAACAATTCACCCTAAATATCACGCCACTGTCAATGTTCCCATCAGAGTACTATCCCACGCATAATTGCTGACGCAGCTCAAACTTCACTCAATTTTGACTCAAACTCTCTCAAAGCGAAGTTTGCTAAGCGACCGCAACAGTTAGATAAATCAGTTCATATTCGGGAAGCAAATCTGAATGTACTCAACAAAAGTAGCCGTTAAGTGAAAATAATAAATTGAAATATATTTTTTTATAGTAACCTAACGTGCAAAACTTAATTATATATATTATATTTTGCTAATTTTCCTTTGCTTACCGCGCATGCAGGAACTCGGTTAGTTTCTTTTTGTGCTCGTTCTCGTAACGCTTTAAGTATTGTTCCATTAGCTTGGACAGTTGCATTTCAATTTTGTAGGCCAGCTCGTGGATGCTTTTCGGCTGCAAGGGCGTCGCACCGCTGCTTGGTTGCAGCTGCTGCTGCTGTTGTTGAATCTTGCTAACTTCGTGCTCCAGTTTATGCAGCTGCAGCGATTGCGCCTTGACCAGATCTGGAAAGTTAGATAATAAATGTTAGATTCCGTACATTTTGTAGCTTAACTTATTTCTCCACCCACCCAATAGTTGTTCCAGTTTTGCATTGATCTCTGCATTGCCTGTGGAATTTTCAATTGCCGCATTGTGGCTGCAGCTGCTGATGTTGTTGTTGCCGCTGCTGTTTAATGTTGTTGCCGTGTTGTTGCTGCAGCTACTGTTGCCCAGCGTGGGCGGCACATTGCCATTGTTCTTGTGCTGCACCGCTTGCGACATGATTTGTGCCGCATTTTGAAGTTCAGCGGATTTTTTGGTTGGCAGCTTGGAATCCTGTGACGGCCAATTGGTCGCTACAGCTGCCGTTTCCTCGACGGTTGGTGAATTGGCCAACTCATCCTCGGTTCTAAAAAACAAAAATAACAAATTAGAATTTAAAATAAATATATTCAAGTATTATCAAGTTGTTCTCACTTTTTTTCCGTTTTGCATAGCATATAGTAGGGGTTCTCTTCGTCAGATTCTAGATTCTCCAATTCCGGTTCGTAGTCATCTGCATCCTCTTGTGTGGCCATAATCTCTTGGACTTCACGACTTGGACTGGAACCGCCACTGGCTAAATTCTCACCCGCATTGCGTTCCGGATTGCGATCAATGGCTATGAACTTCTTGCGCGCATCCATTTTGTCTTTAAGCTTCTGCTGTTCCCGATCCTCAATGAGCGTATTGTTCATCAGTTTCAAAAGATTCGCATTGGCCGACTCCGTTCCCTTGGCAGTCACTGTTGCCAGCATGCGCAGCGTGTTCAGCACCTGAGAGTTGATCGCGGACTGATCTGTGTTAGCCGTAGTTGCACCCGCAGAGCTGCTGATGGCATCGGTGCCAGTTGTGTTGCTGCTAATGCTGGTCGTGGTCAAAAGCATGGTGGTGGCACCGCTGGCGCTAAACGCATCCGGAGTCATGAGATTCAGTTGCGGATAGCCGCTGCCATACTGGGGCGAAGCGGAACGTGATTTATTTGTGCCCGTCGTAGGTGTCTCTTGCAGGATGGCCGAAGGTGCAGCCGCAGCAGCAACTGCAACAGCCACCACCGAGGCGGACGTTGAACTAACTGAGTTGCGTTTGGACTTGCCGAAGAGTGTATCCAGTGGCACTGCGCTGGAGCCGCTGCTGCTGTTGTGCGGTGAACTGGGCTCCGCCTTAATCTCATTGACGTGTAGCAGTCGCGATGGCGTCGCACCATCCGGTGTCAGGGAGCGCTTATTGCTGGCACTACTTTTGTTGCTGCTATTTAAACTTCTTACTGGCTTTTCGGCCACACATGGCTGATAGATAATCTGGCACTCCTGCAAGCTCTTGGCCTGCACCACAAACATATGCACCACTAGGGCATCGGTTGTGGCAGTGCTATCATCGTCGTAATCATCAGGCTCCTCAAACGGATAGTAGCTCTCGTTGGTGCTCTTCATCCGACGCATGCTGGCATTCACTATGGAAAAAGATAGTATGCCCGAGCTCAGCTTGAACTCTGCTATGTTTTGAATGCGTACGGCAGCATCGTTATTGCCAGTGCCGCTGCCAGCGTCATCAGCATCGCTGCCATTATCCGAATCCCCACTGTCGCTGGCCTGATCGTTGACGCTGCTTCTGACGATGCCACAGCTGCTAATCTGCATCACATATACGGCTAACGCATCCAGGCTGGATATAACTAAATAGTTGGCGCTACGATCAATGCCAGCTATGAACATGCCCGGATGCACAGTGGGCGGAACTGAGGCCATAATATTGATGGTCTGCAGACACTCCCACAGCGAGCAGTTCCACAGCTTTATCTCAGTATTATGATCGCTGGTTGTAATCACATACTGCCAGTAGGCACTGTAATTGGGACATTGAATACAATTCATCAACTCTTTTATTTAAATAAGCACTTACTCTTCCACAGGCTTGTTAATGTTATCCAAGAAGAACAACGAGGCCACCGGCTTGCCATCGTGCGGCTTCCATTCGTGTAGGCAGCGATGATTGCGCACATCAAACAAATAAATTTGATAGAAACGCACCAGGCCATCAGTACAAGCGGCGGCAACGGTGGTGCCATCGGGCGATAGAGCAGCGCAGGTAATTAAGGAATCCTCCTCAATCTTCAAATAACCAGTCTCCAGAGACGCCGGTTTAATCTGTCCCCGCTGCAAATGCAGCAAAAACAAATTTAAAAAAAAAAATGAAAAATGGTTAAACTTTTTGGTTTTCACTTACGCCATGCTCGGATATAATCATCCTGACATGAAAGCATTGAAACTGTTTGCTGCGCGACCAAATCAAAAGCTGATTTTCATCATCCTCTTCGTGGCCAGTGACACCACTGACGCCCCCGCCACCGCCACTGGTATTGTTGTTGCTGCTGCTGCCGCTGCTTGTTATGTAAGGACACCAGGAAACCATGTCATATTCTGGCACATAGTTTGCAATAGGATCATCCACTTTGAGTACAAGTTTGCATATTAAATTTCCATCGATTAAATCGATTTTATACACAAACAGCGAGCACATATCTATGACCGCCAGGATGCGCTCCCGTTCGCTGTGGGCAAATTGTAGATCGAGAACCTCACCATTCATGCCCTTGATGAGGGCACGCTGGCTGGTGCTGGTGTTGCACACACGGACCATGCCTTCCATGCCGGTGGCTTTGTTGTTGACTGTGACAAGGGCACAATTAAAATGGATACAGCAATTTAAAGAATTCAATTTGGTTACCATTTATGGCATATGCCAAATGCTTGCCATCGCGATGCACGGCCACCAAATGACCGGGATAATAGTATTTGTGCTCCCATTTATAGTCGACGACATTCTTTAGCTTAACCTTGGAGGAGCCACGCGCATGGGAGCCGCCACAGCCATAAACTTTCGTATGATTGGTTTTGATGTTATAGCAGCATTGCTTGTCATATGGCTTGAAGTTACTGTGTAAGGAATGAGAATGAAATGCTGGATAATGAATAAATGGGAACAGTGCAGAACAGGCTGTGCACACATACATAATTTCGATTTTTTTCACATCCGTTTGATTGCCGTTGGCAGCAACGATGATGCTGGCTGCTGTTGCCTGCTGATCCTGTTCGTTGCTGCTGCTCATATTGAGGCGGGTTCCAATTAGAATTGTTGTTGCTGTTGTCTGCAAATTACTGTTGCTTGTTAATGCCGTTAAATGAGCGTTGTCTGTTGTTGTTGTTGTTGTTGTTGCTGTTGTTTTGCTCGCGTGCTTTGTTGCGTTGCTTTTGCCTTTGCCACACCTTGATGATGATTGCAATGACAGCGGCGGCTTACGAAAGATTGGCAAATGTGCGAGCGCAAAGAGCGCGATTAACATTGACGCATTTACTTACTAGGAAAAGAGACTATCTATTGTTTACTTTTTGTTCTACAATAACATTTTCAAGATTCACCATTGTACAAACGTAAACGTAAACTAACCTGCACTCTAGCAGCAGTTCCAGTTTCCAGTGCTCTCTACTTTTGCTGCTTTTCGACGTCGTTACACTTGGCCTTGGAAGTGCAAATGATGTTCACATATATTAAGCACGCACGCAGCAATTGTTTAATGCTGTTTACACCATTTAAACAACAAATTTCCACAAATTCACACGTAAAAATTGTATAGCAAATTTTGCGAAAATTTGCTCCAATGCCGCAAAGCGTTAGTGATGTGTAGCGGCGTATGCAGCACAATCGATTACAGCGTGCGTCTACTATCGCAAAAATTTCGTGGTCGATAGACATGGTTGCATTTAGTTTGGCGGCAATAACGATAGCATTTCAAATTGTGTAAGACTTAAAATAATTATTTCTTTAGAGCATATTATTTATTGCCTTTTTTTAGCATTTGTAACATCAACTAATACATTCATTTTTATTTTTGTAGATGTATATCGCTCAAAACAATACGCATTTATTACGCTGCAACGTAACAATATGTTTACATAGTGCTCAATATCACTTTTGTTTTTGTTTGTCTTACTTTTTCAAACACTGCAATCAGTTTGTAGTTGTATATCTTTGAAAATGTTTAACAAGTTGAAGATTTATTTTGTTTGATGACAAGAGAAATAATATACAATCACTATATATTTAATAGTTTAAGTATGCAAAAGAAAATGCGGACGCATATTCACATGATGATATACTCGCAAGTACGTCTGCTGATATATCATCTTATAAATTCGAAGTTAGCATACTTATGGTCCGGTAAATTAAATAATTGTTTTTTTTTTTTTTTCTTGTGTTTTCCATTTGTTTTATAACTTTATACAAATGCCTACGAAATTTGATAAATTTACATAATATCAATTTGTGTATACATAGAAAATAGTTTTGAAAAATTACTAAACCTAAGCTAAGCTTTCAAGGAAATGAAATTGGTTTGCATGTGTTTTATCATGGTTTTCTTTTTGTTTTCATAATAAATTTTAACTTCTTTAATACTTAAACATTTAAGCCTGGCTTACGAAAGTTACAACTTTTAGCACAACATTATAATTTTGTTTTTCATTGCCGGAATGAATGAGAAGGTCGAGGATTTGTATTTCCTGGTGGAGCCAGGTTTCGAGTTATTCAAAATTAATAGTTAATAAATAATGATTTATTGCCTTTGGGCATACTAAATGTAATATAGCAAAGATTGAAAAATGGTGTGTGTGTGTGTGTGTGTTTTTTTTCTATCAGCCAAACAAATGCTTTATGAGTGTTGCAATTTTCAAATACGATTGACGCCACTTTGTGGATGCATATCATCTAGGGAGCAGTGTTTTGTTTTGCTTTTCATTTCGTTTGTTTGTTTATAAAGCGAACATTTCTCATTTACATTTACACATTTACGTTTAACAATTAGTTCCATTAGCTCTGTGTGCGCTAAAGAGAAGTATACATAAATTGATCTGCATAAATATGTATCTATAGAGGCGGCATTATTGTTATTGTTATTGTTGCTTGCATGACAAATTTACTTTTCATTCATTTTTAAAATTGAGATTTAACTAGCCTACAATTAAATTAGCGAAACATAATAATAAGCAGCGTGCTAAACGAAATTCGTCTGCTCTTCTAAATAGATGTGTGTTATATGCGCTGCATGCAACAAACAGAAACAACAAAAACGCTGCTTAAACATTTGTATAGGCACCGGCTGAGCCGGAGGAGCCGCCAGTCACATTGGCCGTCATAGGCGCTGATATTGAGGAGCCAGTGCGTGCGGGTGCTGCACCGCCAGAATCGCCGCCAGCTGCACCGGCTGCTGCAAAACTTTCCAGCTTGAGACGCATCTCCTCCTTGCGCGTCTGCACGCTCAACAGTTCGTCGCTGAGATCGTTGCACAGATGCAGCAGCGAATTGTTTTGCTCACGCAGTCGCTGCAGCAGCTCCGTGGTGCTAGTTTGATTCTGCTTAAAGGACACATGACGCAACGAATCACTGATGGCGGTCACACGTTTCTCAAAGTTATCGGCGCTGGGCAGCTGGGCGGCAGCCATGCACGACGACGATCCTGCTGCAGCCAGTGCTGGGGCCGGCGTCTGCGGCTTGCGGTAGACCTCAAAAGCGGAGACTCGCTGTTGCGTCTGCAGCGTCATGCGCATGGGCGGCACAAAAGCGGGCGGCGGAGGTGCCGGCGGCAGTGAATGCTGTTGCTGCTCGGCTGTGGCACCAGCAGCAGCGGATGTGGCATTGGCGCTATTGCTGCTGCTGCTGCTGCTGTTGTTACTGGCGTCCAGCTGCAAATGGAGAAGGCATTAGTTTCGATCATGAACCAAGCGTAAGCGCATGTTTTATTCAAAAGCTACTCAATTTTGGATGCATAACACTAGTAAAGCTACGGCCAATTGTGGATGCATTTGTTGAATCAAGATTTTATTCTTATTACACTTACAACATTCGCGTCGTCGGCAAAGTGCGTGAAATCGGCAAAACCCGCTGAGGTTTGCATATCGAAGCTGGCTTGCGCGGTTATCTTAATTAAAGTTGGGTTTATATTACAGTTTGTTTAAAAAAATAAGTAAAAGAAAATAATAATAATAAAGGGCACACATAAGGTAAACACTTTGCACAAAGAAATACGAATATAATATAAATATATATTCGGTACACCGAAACCTGTTTATACTATGGCAGAGTAAAATGATACATAATACTGTGTTTACTCGCTAAACAAAACGCCTCGACTCCTAATATTATATTTCAAAATACATTAATCATAAAATTTGAAATCTTTATCTGAATGCTATAATTTTTTTTTTCTAAACTTTATATCTACAGACTAACTTTTGAGAATGTTATATTAAACATTGTTATTGAAAAATTGATGTTACTGAAAGCTTAAATCTTTGAATGACAACTGTATCCAAAGCCTCTGTTAAATTGCTTCAGAGAAAACGCTACTTTTAAATAACTTGTTTTAAAATTATCTTTCAATTATCGCTTAGAAGAAAAAAATACAACCTCTGTGCTAAAATACAAATTATTGAAATAGCAGTTGAGCCAGCATTGCCTACAAACTAGGAAGCTGTGAAATGACCCTAAAGGAACATTAACATAGCTGATATTTTTAACATTTCCAGGTGATGTTAAATATCTGTTAGTAAATGGAACACATCTACGAATACAACATTTAAACAGTTTCCTTAAAACATTTGCATAGACATGTATACTGGACATAATTTGGAGCTGGACAGCAGACAAACAACATGTATAGCTAGATTTGATGCAGGTATACTAGACTTACCTCGGGCTGTTGGGCACCAGCTGTGCCAATTTTAAACTTGTTCAAATCTAAGCTGCTGCTGCGCGCATGTCGATGGGGTCGAGGCGGCGGCAAGGGCGGCGGCTCCTTTTTGGCAGAAGCTGTGCTTGATGCATAACCCAATGGTAATGGCGCCGGCTGTTCCGGGGGCTCGTTGACACCAATGGAGCCAATGCTTGGCTCACGTTGCGGCGGCGGCGGCAAGGCACCAATATTCTTCGCTGGCAGCTTTTTGGCCTGGGGACGTTGTATAGCGCGTAGATCGCTGCTTTGCATCGAGATGGAGTCGCGGTCGCGATGCGTTCCAGTTTGATTGTTTTGTGCTGTAGTCGTTGTTGTTGCTGTTGTCGTTGCCATGGCCTTGGGACTCTCCTCGCGCAGCACAACAACGCCGTCCATATCGTTTGTGGACTGACTTGATTGATCGCCAGCTGCGGCAATGGCTGTGCCTACGAATAAATAAAGAAAGTAAATAAGCTGACGAAGGATACTAGGGTATATGTTTACCTATGGGCGTCACACGCAGCGGCACGGGATGCAATATTTGCGGATTTGAGACCACATCCTGGGCAGTGCGTTTCATATCGAACAGCGCTGGTTTGAGGCCGGGACTAGAAACGGCAGGAACAGCAGCTGCCGCTGTGCCGGCTGCAGCAACTGCCGCAGCTCCAGTTGCTGTCGATGTCGTGGGAGATTCGCTAAATTTGGTCCATTGACTGGCATCATTAGTTGGTCCAGCAGTAGAATTAACTACCGCTGTTGTTGTTGCTGTCGCTCCTGTTGGTTTTTCCACATTTGGTGAATTGGAAATGCTGCGATTCTTAAGCACGGGCGATGTCGTTGTTGTGGTCACTTCACGTCGAGAGCTGCTGTTGCTGGCTTGCGACGAGGTCGAGATGCTGCTCAGATTCATAATGTTCTTGTCATTAGGCAATGGACGTGGCTTCGCTTGCGAGCTACTTATGATTGTATTGTCAGTGTGTTCATCTTCGTCGTCATCATTCAAATGCAGGAGATCAGCCTCGGGCGGCTCTTGAGGTATGTGCGCCGTTGATGATGACGACAGCGATGTCGTTGACTTAGCCAGCACATTGGGATGCAGACAATGAGGAAGGCTGCTGGGCAATGGTATATTATTGCGGCGCAACACAACCAGATGCATGGCAGCTGTGAATTCGGATAGACTAAGCGCACCGTCGCGTGTCACGTCGCACAGCTGCCAGATATGGCGTAGCTCCTCGACAGGAATGCGGCTTTTCTCAAAGAAGATCCTACAAATGAATGCATGGTATGAATATACATTCTAATAGACACCCAGTCACAACTTACCGCGCAGCCTGACCGGAGAGCAGTCCGTGCGGATCACGCTGCACAGCTCTGAACTGCTTGTTGTAATATTCGCGCTGCTCGGGCGTGATTTGATACAGCGTAATCAGTTCGCTTTCGTTGTCATCATCGTCGCTGCTGTGACGATCCGAGGACTCCTCCTCGGTGCCCAGAAGCTGGCGATGCTCATCACCGAGCAAGCCCTGCCACAACGTATCCTGTGCCCAGGGACGCTCTGCCACGCTGTTGGTGGGCGTGGGGCTATCACTGTTAGTGCTCCACGCCTCCGGTGAGCCACCAGGGCCAACGCCACGTCGACGCTACAATTAAATAAATAACACTTTCATGTATCTAAGTCTATTTACATAAGTGTGATAAGATATATACGCACTGTTTCGCGGCTGCTGTTGCTGACGACAACATCAGCGCCCGCCAGCTCATCAAAATCTCCGCCACCGCTGGATTCGTTTTGCTCGACTTCGGAATCGGTGCTAGGCACATCCGAGGTGTCCTGCAACTGTTCCAGCTGCTGTTGTTGTTGTTGTTGTTGCTGCTGCTGCTGGGAATTGCGGCGCAGCGAGTTACGACGATCGGTGGGCGGTGGCGGCGGCAGCGCACCCAGGCCATTTTCACAGGTACTCGCTGGCGCTGTAGCAGCGTCTTTCCAGCCAAAATGCGGCAATGGCAATGGCACCGTGGCGGCAATCAGCTCCTGACGTAAAGGCACCGCTGCCTGGTGGGCGGCAATTAGCTTGAGGCACGAATAGAACTGAGCGCGCGAGATGTGTAAAGCGGTTGCGGGTATTCCAGCCAATGATGTGATCTGTTAAGCAATAATTAAAAATTAATTAAGAATGCACGATGCTGTCAATTGAGGCATTTGTGGACCTACCTCAATCACCGTCTCGTTGGCAATGTCCGCTGAGCGAAAGAGTTCGGTTGCTTTCAGCATGGGCACCTTGCCGGTGTTCTCCACGTCGCAGCATTGAAACAGTTCTCCATAGAAACGTGTCTCGGGCTCCGTGAGCGTTACCTCTTCCATAGCCGTCAACTTGTTGCTGCCTCCACACCCAGCGGTCGTCGTATTACTTTTGGTATAAGCTACCCACGCCCGTTGACTGACTGCCAGCCAGGCTGCGTTCGCGATTGCGACAAATCTGTTTGTTTATTTCCACGCTTAACTAAACAAACTGCTAGCTCAGCTGTGCCCCCCCGCCTGCCACACGCGCTTCGGCTCGTTTATCGTCGCGTCAACGTTGCTGCCGTAGCGTAGGTGGAAAAACGGGCCAAATGAGACTCAAATGCAGCAGCAGGTTTGGCAACGTTTTGCAAGCTTTAGACAGCCACCACAGCCAGCAAATGAAGTGCACACATTAATGCATGACGCGGCACAGGCAGCGTAGTTATTAAATTTCCAATTGGACTTACTTCAACTACACAATTTGTCAATCAATATTAATTTTTACACGAATTTTTCGCAAACTGTTGTGCACTGTGGTGGCATTATCAACGATAGAATCTAGAGATAGCGATGGTCGATAAGTGTGTACCCGTGACTAATCAACGGTAACGATTAATTTGGGTTTACACGAAAAAAAAAGTGTTAAACAACCTGTGCTAATTTGGTAACTACTTTGTGGTCATGTTTTTCAGCGTTCAATAAACTTCTAACTTCTAGTATGTATGTAATTTAAAAGTTATAATATTTTCATAGCATATATAGCCCAAAGAGAAATGTTTTGCTTTCGAAAAGCACAGTACTGAATTGCTATTTTAGGCGACGATTGATTTGTAAATTTGATATCGATTAAATAAAACCGTTAAGCATACGGCCCGATAAGTTTATTTAAAACCGAGACTCCTATCGTTCATCCCTACTTTCGATAACAGCGAATTTTGTTATTGTCCGTCTAGGCGACTGCAACGCAATTTAGTGCTTTAAATTTTAATCAAAGAATTTCAGTGCCTAAATACAGTCATAGACATAACTAAATTGCCTTGAATTAGTCAAGAATGTTTTCACGTAAAAGGCCAGAGCCTCCAAAGCGCCGACAGCACGATTTATCCCAGGTAAGGAAAGAAAAACAAGCAAATAGAATTGTCTATTTACAATTATGAGTCATTGCTTCCCTTTCCTCTTGCCGCTCGCGAACACACACGAATACGCACACAGTTCGGTTTAACGGAAATACCGGATGACTTTGATCCCAGCGCTGGCTTTGGCGATGATGATGCAGCGGATAGCGATTTGGAGGCTGAGCTAGCGGCAATTAGCGGCGGCGGCGGGCCAAAGCCCAAAGCAAAGCCAAAGCCAAAATTGTTGCCCAGCAGCGATTTGGACAAAATGATAGCAGATAGCTTGCGGGATGTCAGCGACGATGATGACGACGATGCTCTTGAGAATGACAGTGAATTGCTGGGCGAGCTGCATGGCATTGCAGGCATAGAGGATGGGGAAGAGGAGCAGCCCCCGGCGGCCCCCGCCACTGCTGAAGAACAGGAGCCCGTTCAGACCTTTCTGCCGACAACAACAGTGGACACATTGGGCATTATAAACCAGCGATTGGACATGTACAAACAGGCTGAGGCCAATGCAAAAGCCGCTGGCGAATCAGGAAAGGCGCGACGTTTTGCGCGTGGCTTAAAGACACTTCAAGATCTACAGAAGCAGTCTGCAGCCGGCAGGAGCATCAATGTTGATGACATTCCGCCTGAGGTGAGCATCAAGCCGGTTGGTGGCGAAGCAGCAGGATCATCTGAAGCACCTACAGAAGAGCCCAGGCAGCCCATGCGTGCCGCGCCAGCTCCCCCCACACCGGGCACACCGCCAGCAACAGAGGCAGCTGCCTCGCCCAGCACACCGCCAGCAACAGCTGACACGCCTGCTAGTCCCTTGGTGGCGCAAATGCGCAGTCGTCAAAATGAATACAAAGCCGCAGCAGTGCAAGCGAAACGTAGCGGGGATACAGCCGCTGCCTTGCAATTTCTACGCGTGGTGAAGCAGTTCGATGTCGTGGTAAAGATGTGCGAGGATGGCCAAGAGGTTGATTTGAGTGATATGCCGCCACCGCCGGGCGAATTTCTGGCATTCATGGCCAAGATGCAGGAGGGCGCAGCAGCTGCTGAACCAGCCGCAGCTCCAGCTCCAACTGCGCCAGCACCAGCGCCAGCAGCTGCAGTTGATAGAACAGCCGCGCCCACTTCAATGTTAGAAGCGCTTCAGCAGCGTCTGGACAAATACAAATCTGTGGAGGAGGCTGCCAAGGCAGAGAGCAATACCAGCAAGGCGCGTCGCTTTGGACGCATTGTTAAACAGTATGAAGATGCCATCAAACAATACAAGGCAGGAAAACCCGTGGCCTATGATGAGCTGCCCGTGCCACCGGGCTTTGGTCCACTGCCCACGGCAGATACTGCGCCCGCTGCACCTGCACCCACACCGCCCATGTCGCCCACATCACCGCCTGCTACAGCGAGCACTTCCGCTGGTGGCACGCCCACCAGCTCTGGCACCGTGACGCCGACGGCAGCACGTAAAGCGCCTTCTCCGCCTCAGCCCAAGGAGCTAACGACACGCACGACGGGCAATCATCAGAAGAGTAATCTGGCGGAGCAACAAATGAAATTGCTGCTCGAACGGCAAAAGGAGTTTAAAGTGGCCGCCATAGCAGCCAAAAAAGCGGGCGAAATCGATCAGGCCAAGGAATACCTAAAGATCTACAAGGGCTTCGACTCGCTGCTCAATGCCGCAAGCAGCGGACTGCCTGTGGATCTCAGCACGGTAAGCTTAACTGGATTTGGTTATACTATGAATGTAGTTAATAAATAATATGTGTACTACGACGACAGCTGCCTGTGCCGCCATCGCAACGTGACAATCTGGAGGCATCATTTGCCATTGTGTCTACCGAGGATTGTGATCCGAGCGATGACATTTGCGAGATTGGCGTGCGCATGGAGGAGCAGCTGGCCAAACAGCTAATGATGTGCAAAAATACGCGTGATCATCACAAGGCCATGGGCGATGTGGCCGGCATGAATCGATTCGAGAATCTCGCACTGACCGTACAAAAGGATTTGGATCTGGTGCGTTACTCCAAACGTAAGAATCAAACACTGCCCAAATTCCATTACGAGAAGCGTTCCTTTAACATTGTCCATTGCAATACGGATCTGACGGACAATGAGCTGGAAATTGTGGTCGTGCGCGGCATTAACTACAATGTGTCCAATCCCAAGGATGTGGACACTTATGTGCGCGTCGAGTTTCCGCTGTTGAATGTAAGTTTTCAGCATTCGACTTGTTAGTTACATATGCTTAATTTCTCCATTGCTGCAGGATGAGACGTTCAAGACGAAAACCAATGTGATCAAGGACACGGACAGTCCCGACTATGATGAACGCTTCAAGGTGGACATTCAGCGTAGCAACCGCCAGTTTCAGCGAATCTTTAGACGTCACGGCGTTAAATTCGAGATCTATTCCAGAGGGTGAGTCCAACGCCTAAAAATATGAATCGAACGCTTTATTGAGCACTGCAAATATTAATTCTTACTAATGCCTACCGCATATTCATATCGATTAACCAAGGTGAATCGGAAGAAACCAAGTAGAAGTCATAGTAGTCCATCAAGTATAACATGTATGCGCGGTTCCCTAACAATTATCTCAGCGTAAGGCTACTTAATTGTCTTTCCATAAATTATTAGATAAATCCAGCTGTTTAGACCCCATGAAAACAACTTCTAAATAACTTATTAGACCTGACTTCAAATGTAGTATGTAGATTATGATTAAATACGAATCTGGCAGGAGTATCAAAACGTTTATATTTCTTTTAATAAAATATATGTATGTTCCATAAGTAATTTAAGATTAGAGGGGTGCATCATAATGTTTAAATGACCGAAATGTACTTTTTTTTGTAGTATTTGTTGTACTCTTTTGGGTTGTGGTATTATCTAAGTATTTGTCAATCTACTAGCTATTCAAACAAATGTAAGGGCAGTTAACAGAAACTGTTATTAACATAACCAGTGCATCTGCTTAATAACAGCGTGCCACAGGTGCTTAAATGGTTTTGGAAACGCCCCAAACATCTGCTCATATGTATTTTCAGTAGATATTTTGGTTCTTTACTTCATTATTTCTTTTTCAAACACCTTTAGATCAGGTAATTTTTTGTTGTTGAGCTTTGCCTAGATTTGAGTTGAGCACGCCCGTTGCTTTTCACATTTCATTGTTGCAAACATTGAATGCATTATTCGAAAGTTTTTAATCAATATGTTTTACAAATTCTTGCGCCTCAAATCCCAACAAAAACTCATTGCTACGCAAAACGCTATAAATAAAAACTAAAATAAATAAAACACAAAAAAAAAAAAAACAGCTGCAGTATTGATTGTTGTGGACTAAGTCGTAAACTGCCCATATGTTGTTTCAGAGGATTCCTTCGATCCGATACACTTATTGGCACCGTCAATGTGAAGCTGCAGCAGCTGGAAACCAAGTGTGATATACACGATACCTACAATGTGAGTGCAAACTAAAGCCATGTAAATTATCAAATATAATTAAATCATTCATCATTTGCAGCTGATGGATGGTCGCAAGCAGGTGGGCGGCAAGCTGGAGATCAAGGTGCGTGTACGCAATCCCATATTGACCAAGCAAATGGAGCACATCGATGAGAAGTGGCTGGTGCTGGATGCCGAGGGCTGAACACAGTGTTGCCTGGACTCTCTTTTCACTTAAATTTTTTTTGTACTTTATCGCAAAACAAAATTTGATGTGTTTATTGCTTAAGACATTGCGCTGAACGCTTTGGCCTCCCTGGGTTGGCACTTATGTATTACATAAACATACACACACATACACACGCACGCACATTCACTCACATACACACACACGCGTTATGTACTATATATATATATATATATATATATATATTTGTATAAATATTAATGTATATGAGATAACTATATGTGGAACAAGACGCAGCGCTGCTCTGAAGTTTTGTGCCCCATTATTTAAACAGTTCCATGCCAAAAGTTTGATAGAGTTGAAGAGTGGGAGATTTGGAGAGAGAGCAGCGCACGCCTTGCGGCCAAGCAAAGCCTGATTATGTTTCATCTAATATGCCCGATATGTTAATAAACCCATAAAATTTATATAAATATGTTTGATAAAGTTGTTGTGCTAAATTATAACTCCAGATATTCGACTATTTGCGAGAAGGCGCTGCTCTCATTAAACACATCCACGCCGCGCACCTTATAGAAACCTGGAAATATAAGCACGAGGATGTCAATTTTAGCTGCAAATAAACCGTAGAATATTTGGCTTACCATTTACGCTGCCATTCGGGCCCGGCGCATACTGAAACGATGGATAGGGCAGATGCCAGTCCATGGAGATGTGCAGCCATTCGGAGCCGACACGCTCTCTGAACCAAACCTCATAGCTCTTCAGGCACTGGGTGGAGCGTGATTGTTCAGTCCATCGGATGAATACCTCGCGCTG